AGGCACGCGGCGCGACAGCACGGGGACGCGGAGCCCGCCGCGACCCGGCCACGCCGCAGGCACACGCGGAAGCACCGCCCCGCGCCGCTGGAGGAAACACACTACGCAGCGCGCGGGGCGCAGACCTCCCGCTGGCCCAGACGCGCGGCGGGGAGGTGCGGACGCGCACTGGCTGCAGGCGGGGACCCAGGCCCGGGGCGGCCGGACGGGATTCACACACGTAAACACGCAGCAGCCGGCGCTCGCCGCGTGGACAGTCGGGCCGGAGACCAGCGCAAGCATAACGTAGATCCACAGCGCACGCAGCACAGACCCAAGTTCCCGACACACGGTACACACGGCACACAATGGAGACACAGACTGGACACAGATACGAGGAGAGACGCAGAGTGTGCTCGGCACGGACACGCAACGGAACATGCACGTAAGGTAGACAAACAACAGGCCCACGACACCAGACGCATGGCACACGAACACAACGCACAGGAACGAAACACAAAGATGGAATCGCGAATACATACCAGGCACACAAACACAAAGTATAAATAAATGGCACACCGTGAAAAACAACGCACAGGGTCATAGGAATAGCTGACTGAGGCCCTGGACATGACTCCAGTCACCTAGAGTCCTTGCCCTGGGGAGGGGGGGGGGGTGCAGACTTGTCCGTATCCAGACTCACTCTGTGGGGGTGGGGTGAACACTTGCAAACAACCCCCCACCCCATCCCTCAGCCCTCCTCTGACCTGCTACCGTCGCGTTCTGCAGACACTCCGTGGAGTCTGGGGGCAGTGTGCACATCGTGGGTGTGGTCAGTGGGCATCCGCATCCCAGCCTTCCATGTTCACTGTCAAGTTGCCCACCATTGGCCCTTTGCCTCCCCGCCTTGGGCTCTGATCTCTCCGGCTGGCTGGCTCTGCCTTCGGGATGCCAGTGGCGGAGATTATGGAAGTAGAAGCTTACCTCTGGGTCTGAAAGGCCAGCTCCACTAATTGCTGGCCGTGGGACCCTGAGTTTTCTTATCTGAATAGAGTTGCTGTGAAGATCAGAGTTGACATTTGCACAGTCCCTGGCACCCTGCGATCCTTGTAGTTTCAAGGAATTACATATTCATTGAGTGCACCCTGGGGGGTGCAGTGATCCAGAAGTGGAATTGGGAGAGTCCAGGCTTCAAATCCAGCTCTGCCTCTGGGCCAGTATACGATCTTGGGTAAGCGAGTAGCCCTTTGGGCTGTGTTTCCACATCTGTCCAAAGGAGTTGTTAACACCACCCCATCTCGGGCTGTTGCATGGATGAGGTTAAAATCAGACTATGAATGAAGGTTAAAATAACATAATGAAGGAGCAGGTACATTTGTAAAGGAAAAGGTATGCAAAGCGAGTTTTTTTTAAAAAATATTTATTTAGTTGAGAGAGAGAGAGAGAGAGAGAGAGAGACAGAGTGTGAGTGGGGGAGGGGCGGAGAGAGAGGGAGACACAGAATCTGAAGTAGACTCCAGGCTCCAAGCTGTCTTCACAGAGCCCGATGCGGGGCTCGAACCCACGAACTGTGAGATCATGACCTGAGCCAAAGTCGGTCACTTAACTGACTGAGCCCCCCAGGCACCCCTAAAGCGAGTTGCCAAAACAGTACAAATTAGGAAATAATAAATGCCACCAGAAAAGTATGATGGCACCAGTGATTACTTAGAGGCAGCTCTGACTCTGAATCGAGAAGAGAGTATAAATTTCACGGGGAAAGTGGCAGTAGGTAGAATGCAGAAATAGGGAGGTGAGCCTTCCAGGAGGAGGGAACAGCATTGCAGAAAGCCTGGGACAGAGAAGGTTGTGTTTATGGGGCTGGAGTTCAGGTGGATGGAGGGAAGCAGTGGAAGGTGAGGTCGGAAGAGAAAGAAAGTGGAGCTGAGTTTGGGGTTGAACTTGATTTACAGCCCACAGGCAAACCAGGGCCACTAGCAAGGTTACAAGCTAAGCTTTGGATGTTCTAGAGAGAGCTTCGGGAAGTGCCATGATCTGAATTTGCTTTGGGATCTGGCAGAAGTGGGCTGAAAGTGTGGACAAACAAGAAAAAGGCAATCCAATGGCTAAAAAAAAAAGGGGGGGGGTGGTTTAAAAAGGGTTAAGGATATCAGTGGGCCATTCACAAAAGAGGAAACCTAAATGGCCAAAAATATGAAAAGAAGTTCAACCTCACTGGCCATGTGAGACATGCAAACGAGAAGAGCCTGTGCCACACCATTTCACGTCCACCAGACGGGCCAAGAGTGAGAGTCTGTCCACGTGGGGAGAGGGGCAGGGTGCTGAGCATGTGACATGCTTAAAACCCTCATACACCATTGGTAGAGATGTAAGTGTCTCCAGCTACATTGGCGAAGTGTTGACAACCTCTCATAAACTCAAAGGTGCCCGTTTCTGTGCTACAGTGATCCACTCACTCAGCATATAATTCTGAAAACTTAGACCTTCATTAATTGTCCATCTACAGCTGTCCAGAGATAGACACATCGTGATCTGTTCATACAGTGGAATGATCTACTGGGAGTGAAAATAAACCAAGGCAATAAGCTTGAACACAGATATTATCCAGAAAAAAAAAAACCAAAACAGCGTCAAGTTATAGAATAGGTACAGCGTGATAGAAAAATTTTTGGTTTTTTTTTAAACACTCAAAACTGTCCATATATATATTTTTAGGGATATAGTCGTGTCCAAAAACTATTAAAACGTGTGCAGGAAACCAAAGACACCAAATTTAGAACAGTGGATAACCTCTGGGAAGGGAGGGTTGGGAAGGCGATCAGAAAGAGACCCACAGGGGATTGAATTCTATCTGTGATGATTTCTTAGGAAAAAGAAGAATATCTCAAGCAGAGGTGGCAAAGTGTGAAGAGTTGACAGAGCTGGGTGGCCAGTCCATAGCTGGTCTGTCTGACCCTTCTCCTCCTCAAGCCTGAAACTTTTTCTCTATTTTCTGTATGTTTAGAATATTTGCTGGCTTATTTTTTTAGTAATCGCTACACCCAACACGGGGCTCACCCTCACAACCCTAAGATCATCGCACACTCTCCCAAGAAAGCCGGCCAGGCGCCTCTGAAATATTTGGCAATTTTAAAGATGGGGGAGGTGAGGAGACCAGGAGACTGTAGAGCGGAGGAGGTTTGGTAATAACACTACCTGTCACGGGTGCAGGGCCATCACAGCTACAATGTCCTAACACATCTGGCAAGGAGGTTTGCCAGAGTTGGGGAGCTGGGCACGGCAGGCTTCAGATCCATTTACAGGGGAGAGAATGGAGGCTTGGGGAAGTGATTTCTCCAGGGTCACATACCCTAGAGAGGGAGGACGGGTCCCTTCCCCTCCGCTGTGTCTTAGCGCCTGCCCATCACCGGAGACTCCCAAAGGCCAGAACCTCTAGAGCAGATCACGGGCCTTACAGTAATTCATCCTTCTTCGGTGCACTGCACTGTTCTAGTTTTTTCTTCCGATTAGGGACAGCTTGGAAAATACAGAAAAGCACAAGGAAGAACACGAACATCACCTGTGATTTTCATTGTCTTTTAAATTTTCTTTAAGGTTTATTTATTTTTGAGAGACAGAGCACAAGCAGGGGAGCGGCAGAGAGAGAGAGAGAGAGAGAGGGAGACACAGAATCCGAAGCAGGCTCCAGGCTCTGAGCTGTCAGCACAGAGCCTGAGGTGGGGCTCGAACCCATGAACCGTGAGATCGTGACCTGAGTCAAGATCAAGAGTCAGATGCTTAACCCACTGAGCCACCCTTTGTCTTTTAAAGTCAGTTTCAGGGGCGCCTGGGTGGCTCAGTCGGTTAAGCGTCCGACTTCAGCTCAGGTCACGATCTCGCGGTCCATGAGTTCGAGCCCCGCGTCAGGCTCTGGGCTGATGGCTCAGAGCCTGGAGCCTGCTTCCCATTCTGTGTCCCCCTCTCTCTCTGCCCCTCCCCTGTTCATGCTGTGTCTCTCTCTCTGTCTCAAAAATAAATAAATGTTAAAAAAAAATTTAAAAAAAAATAAAGTCAGTTTCACTGAGGAGTGCCTGGGTGGCTCAGTGAGCATCCAGCTCTTAATCTTGGCTCAGGTCATGATCTCACAGTTTGTGAGTTTGAGCCCCGCCTCAGGCTCTGTGCTGGCAGTGAGGAAACCACTAGGGATTCTCTCTCTCTCTCTCTCTCTCTCTCTCTCTCCCTTTCTCTGCCCCTCCCCTGCTCTCTCTCTCTCTCAAAATAAACTAAAAAAAAAAAAAGCTTCATTGAGGCATATGTAATTCCTACACAGTAAAATCACCTACTTGAAAAGCACAGCACTAATGCTAGATAAGCTGGGGGTATATGAACGTGCTTGAACAAAGAAGAAATGCATTTCACAAATATGAGTAATTATTATTGTAATACAATTTTTGGAAATAACTACAGTAAAGTTACTTTCACCTTGAAGCCAGGTGACCAGCCAGGTGGGTCTGTGTTTCATTGCCTGAACTTGGGGGTCAGTTTATAATGTCCCCGGCATGAGGTGCCGGAGAGTTTCCAAATTATGGTAGAAGGCGTGACTGTTAACACCATTTAAAAATTAAAGACAACGGCAACAACATTTGGTGGGGTCAGACCGTGACCTATTGAAGAACCATGGTCTTGGTTAGCTGCCAGGCCATAAACGCCTTTACCTGTGGCTTTTGTGAGGAAATGAGAGAAGGCAAGAGCCTGTCCCCCTCTTGGAGTTCAGGAGGGTAGAAGAGCGACTACACGGAGACACAGGGGATCCTCCTGGCCCTCCCCCCAGACTTGCTGTGGAACCGAAGGTGGGGCCCTCTTCTCTCCTCCAAAATGCGGGCTCCCCATCTGTTAAAGTGGTGCTTTACTCACATTTGAAGATTCAGCAGCCTTTTAGGGAAACATGCTGCAGGCGGGCACTGTGTGAGAGAGAGAGGAGGTGGGCAGCAGAGAGAGAGAGAGAGAGGCACCGTGAAGATGAGTAAGACAGCCTCTGGGCTCAAAAAATGTCTGGTCCAGAGCTGGCAGGTGGGATTGGAGGGACAGACTCCTCGATCGACAGGTGACTGCGATGGTGGGTTAATGCACCCGGTGTGATGGCCCTGAGCAAATATCGAGGGTCTCTAAGTTCCTTCTGACAACTGTTATTTCATTCTATGAACTTAACGTAAGCTTGGTTTTTCCCTCTCTGGGTAACTTTGAATACTCCGGGCTTCCGACTTACTCACTGGTTAAACCCTAACATTTAGAACAAGCGAGTAGTTCCCAGTCTTTCTCCACAAAGGCTTTTCTATAAAGATTTGACCACCAAATGCTGCATTTATTATATTTTGTCTTCTCTTTCATATGAATTAGGTCCACATTATTACATTCAATCAGAACTTTGATTGATATGATACAAGTAGTGTGGTTGTAAAAGAAAGAGTTGATGGATAGACAGACAGACAGAGAAACGGAATTCAAGCCCAAAGCAAGGGCACTGGTATTTAGTCCATCTATGCCATTTTATAGCAGATACTTCCAGAAAGGATTAAAGACATCTTTCAAATTATCCACACATTAAAATACAGAGGAGCCTTTCATGCTAGTGAATTCCAATATTTTCCAGGCATCTCTTCTGGATCAAGCAGTCCATGAATCAATCAATCAACGTGGGTAACCAAGTGTCCAGCCCCAAAAGAGAGGGAAAATGGACAAGCACTGGACCCAGGAGCCATCAGAGGAGAGCAAAAAAGAAGACAGTGGATGTAGAACGTGGCCACGTGTATGATTCACCTGGTAATGGTAGAACTGAGACTTGAACCCAGCTGGGTCTGGTGTATTCAAAAGCCACCGGTCCTCTCATGGCCCCACCCTGCCTCCTTTGCTTCATGATGGAATGATCACGATAATCACCGACGTGGATGGAGCCCATGCCACACGCCAGGCTCTGCCCTGGGCTTCACATGAGCTATTATTATTCCATTTCACTCATGAGGAAACTTGGCAGAGGTAAGCCACGAACCCAGGTAGTCTGGCTCCAGAGCCTTTAACCCCCGTGCCCTTTGTCCCCTGTGAATTGGGGACAAATTGGGTCTTGTAGGGGCTTGTGCAGCTTCAGATACCCTAGATACATCATACAATGATATTTCACCTTGCAATAATACATTAGATGTGAATAGCACTTTGTACTTCACCCAGGGTAACCTCACACCTCTCACTCCATCCCCACAGCAAGTATACAAGACGAGCAAGGCAGGGATTATGATTCCCCCATTTTGCAGATAATGAAACAGAGGTTAAGGAGGTTAAGTGATATGTCCAAGGTCATGCAGCTAGAACATGTTAGATACCAGACTCGGGAGGCAGGGAGTCACAACAACCAGAGAAGACTTTCCAAGTCAAGTAGCGCACTCCTCGTTTTCAGGTGGGAAAACCAGTGCCTGGAGAGCAAGCTTGCTCAAGGTCGTCCAGGAAAGATTTGTTCAAGGTCAAGTGGTAAATCAGCAGCCGAGCCATCATGTGATCAAGGCTTCTGCCTCCTTGCCCAGAGATTTACGTCATGTTGCTTTTGTCGGATCTCCAACAGTCCTCTTGAGTTTTTCGACTGCCAGACTTTGTTTAAAAACCCTTCTGGTGGAGTGTTCTGTGATACGTGACATTCTCATGAATTTCAGAGGGTGGGGGAACATCTAAGTGACCTTTCAGCTTGGAGAGCCTGTGATTCTGCCACCAGAATTCTACAGCAATTCCAAGATAATCCTCACTCTTTTGGTGCTCTCAGAAGAAAATCTCAAGTCTGGTCTCTCTCTGGGGCCTGTCCTGCTCCCTGATCTTTGGGTCTGGAGTGGGGCAGTAGTGCCAAGAAGTTTAGCTAGGACCGCTCAGATCTGTGTCTTGCAGCAGCTTCTTCCAAGATTACAATTCAAGGTCCCATTCGCCTCCTGCCAGGGAAGAGAGGAAACATCTGGGCCAGCGCCGCGTGGAGGCAGCTCCCCAGCTTGCGTGGGAGACGCCCTGGGTAGGAGGCTGTGAACTCAGAGCTCTTCATTCCAGATGTGGCTCTGAGCTTTAGTGTCTGGATCTCACCTGTGAGGCCTGGACAGACACAGGGTGTGTACGGTGGCCGGGTGGGGGTGGTTGGAAGAGAAGCTTGAGAGGGAGTCCAGAGCAGTGTGCACCCGGGAAGGAAGAGCGTATGGGACTGATCAGGGATACCCCACTGGGGTGAGCCTTCTGTGATGGTTAATTTTCTGCATCCATTTGGCTAGGCCCTAGCGCCCAGGTGGTTGATCAAACACTGATCTAGGCATGGCAGGGAAGGTATCCAGTAGATGTGGTTAACATCTATAATAAGTTCATTTAAATAAAGATTACCTCTTGTAGTGTGGGTGGGCCTTATCCAATCAGTTGAAGGCCTTAAGAGCAAAAACTGGGGTTTCCTGGGGAAGAAGAAATGCCTTCTCAAGCCTGTAGCACCGACTCCTGCTTGTTTCCAGCCCTGCCTTGTGGATTTTAGACTTGGCAGTCCCACAGCCATGATAGCCAGTTTCCTAAAATAAAGGGATCTCTGAATGAATTAATGAATTAATGACATTATATGTATTTCTCCAGTTGGTTCTGTTTTGCTGGAGAACTTCTTCACGCCTCGAGAACAGATCTTACCCTTTTAGCCCTCTGTCCGCATACCCCAGCCCATCCCTCCATACGCAGACCAGACCCCCGGGTTTCACTTCAGTCTCCTTGTCCACCCTCGTGACCACAGAAGGTCCAGAAGGATCCAGGTGGGAACGGGGTTGTAGAAGAGCAAGCTTGGCAGCAGTTGGAAGAGCCGAGAGGTCTGGAACCGTGTGGGGAGACAGACCAGGTCGCGCCTGGCTTTTCAGGTTGCGAGCAGCAGCCCGGACAAACGGATCTGTCTGCAAGGATATTTCTCAGGCGTTGGCAAGAGAGGCTATGCCAACGTTTTCCCAGCATTCAAAAATGGTTTTCCTGGGAAGAATCTCCTTGATCGGTGCCCACAGCACCATGGGAAGGGGGCTATTTCCTGCCGGCTCTGTAAACGGGCTGGGGACCTATGATTTTGTAGTAGTCGGGATTCTTGGTTACAAGTAACCAGGACTGTCTGTGGCCATCTTCAGCAGGGAAGGACCACAGCAGGGAGGACAGTGAGGGGAGTCCAGGGAACCACGGGAACCCCAGCCAATGGAATACTGCAGGCACAGTCTGATCCAGGGGCCTCGACTGAGACTGAATTTTACCAGCAAGGATCCACTCACCACTCGCTCAGGAGTCAGCCTGTGGAATGAGTACCTGATCGGCTGAGGTTGTATCTCACCATGCCTATTCACTGTCCAGGTAGGAGGAGACGCTGGGGAAGAATCTGGCTTCACTTTGCTTTTACAGTAACGGTGGCCATGGGCAATGGATGCTAGTTTTTTCCTTCTTCACGACGGGGAATTCCCCCCAAAGGAAAGCAGGACTCTAGGTGGGGGGTAGGTATTGGACAGACTACAAGTGACGGCTAAACCTTTGGAGCCGTTGTCCTTCTGAAGCCACTAACAGTTACATGGTGTTGCTTAAAAAGCAGCCAAGTGGACAGAACTTAGATGTGAACTTGCGTGTCCTGAGATCAAGTTCTACCACTTACCGGCATCCTGATTCTGGGCACGTTACCTCACCTCTAAGAGCCTCGATTTCCTCCTCTGAAAAGTGGGGAGAACAACAGCACGGACAGCTCACAAAACTGCAGGTGAAAACGCTTTGTATTTTGAGCCCTAGAGGGCGCTGGTGTTGGAGCACCCATGCCCGAGGCATCTTTTCATCCTGGTGCCCAGTTCACAGCCTGGCACCTTGTGAATGCCCAGTAAATGTTTGGCGAGTGAATGGATAAACAAGCAAGCAAGTGATTTTTATGGTTGTCCTAACTTGACCATCAGCTTTGCAGAAAAAAAAGGACAGACGTCGTTGGACTCTGATGTGGGTTTCGTGAGCTGAAGCTTCACAAATGAGATTATGTGTATATATATATTGTAAACAAGCCCTTTGACGTTTTCATTTCAATATGTGAAACTCGGCTACTTGTCTCAGGGAAAGTTTATAGGAAAAAAAAAGCTTCCGGCTGGCTTTGGGGCAGCCCATAAAAATATACTGAAAGCTGACCGGTTAGAGATGAGGGGCTGTCGGGGGATAGAGATCAGTGACACCATAAAACCTGGTGAGGCCCACAGCATTTCGACAATTAGCTCTCTGGGCAAGAGGCTGCATTCTTCACTCCTTCCTGGTTCCTAGTCAAAGGATGGGGCCCAGAATCTCTTAAAGAGAAAACACAGCTTTCAAATAACAAACACGTCTTTGACCCAGGCAGGCTGTGATTCAAAGGGTTTCAAAGGGCGTGGGGGAGGGAAGGGTTTTCAAGAGCTTTAACTGCCCCCGGCCGATCAGAATGCCCCCAGCTCTCCCTCCCTGTCAGAGTTCCAAACGCTACCCCTGTCTCCACTCAAGTCTGACCTCCTCCAGGAAGCCCTCCTTGGTAACTCCAGCAAATCATGGGTTTGTTCAGCCCTCTGACTCTTTGACTTAAAACGCTCCAGAGGTGCCTCCTAGTGTCAGGGTCAAGTTCAACCGCCTTGTGACTTGGCCCCTTCCCGCCTCTGTGGCCTCTTATGCTCCCCACCCCCAGCCTTGATCCGGCGGGGGCAGTGCCAGACAACCTTCAGCTCCACCTTCTCCCCCCTCCTCTTGGGCCTCAGCATCTTGGACTGTACCCTTGCTTTGGCTGGGATTTTCCTCCTGCTTCTTTATGCGGCTGGGTGGTATTTACTCCCAAACTTAGCCCAGGCCTCTCCTCCAGAGAACAGGGGGAGACAGTTTGAGTCTCCCAGGACGGGTGAGGTGTTTCTGCAAGGGCTCCCCAGGGTCCTCACCGCACTTACTGTGCAGTCCGCTCCCTTCTGGGACCTTTGTTCATCTCTGTGTCTCTACATTCAATACCGGCTCTGGCTCAGAGAAAGTGCTCAGTTTTGCAGTCCTGTGCCTCACACCCGGCAGCACATCCTGAGATCACCTCGGGAGCCTTGAAACGCAGACACCCGTGTTCTCATCCTGCAAGCTCGGATTTAATTGGTCGGGGGAGGGGGGGAGGGCTGGGCCTGGGGTTGGGGAGCATGGGTTGAAAACTTCCCCAGGTGGTTCTTATGTGTGGCCAAGGTTGAACAGCACTGTGATTTACAGCACTTGACTTAGGACTTCCCCGGCAGCTCAGAGGAGCTGTACTCAGGGCACCTCTCACAGAGCATGATCTTGAACTCACAGCTCCATTGAACTTGCCACAGGTTGTGTTGAAAGAAGCACTATTCATGCTCCTACCTGGAGCAGCGGTGCTCAGTAGCTATATACCCCCTGCCCTGCTGCACCCCCCTCCCAACCTTCCAGGCCTATTAGGAGGGACCACCTGCATCACAATACTTGGGAGAAGGATGCCTTTCTGAGCCCCACCCCGGATCCAAGGAGCCCATCTGGGACCCCGCAATGTGAACAAGTTACTGGATGATTCTGATGCACGCCCGTGTGCTACAGCTCGGGGCTTCGAGCTCCCCAGGACTTGCAACGCCAGGCAAGGAAGTTAACAACATAAAGCGTCTTCAGGGAACCACGGGAGGGGATTGGAAAACTACTTAGCCCTAGCCAATCCTTGTTCTTTGGGAATGTGGGCCCCATGTTGTCATTCTCCGCCCCCCCCCATTCTTTTTTAATAGACCTCCCAAATCTGGATTTTTCTGTGAAATCTAACAGTTTAAAGTTGACAAGTGATTCAATCACGTTTTAAAAGTTTTTATTTAATTTCCAGTCAGTGAACACGTAGCATTAGTTTCGGGTATACAATATTCAGCGTTTCTATACACTTCTATCCATCACCCAGTGCTCATCACAAGTGCCCTCCTTAATCCCCATCACCTGTTTCACCCATCCCCACACCCCACCCCACCCCCTCTGGTAAGCATCAGTTCTCCATAGTTAAGAGTCTGTTTCCGGAGTACCTGGGTGGCTCCGTCGGTCGAGCGTCCGACTTCGGCTCAGGTCGTGATCTTGCTGTTCGTGGGTTCGAGCCCGGTGTCAGGTTCTGTGCTGACAGCTCAGAGCCTGGAGCCTGCCTTGGATGCTGTGTCTCCCTCTCTCTCTTCCCTCCCCCACCCCCCACTCATGCTCTCTCTCTCTGTCAAAAGTGAACATTAAAAAAAACCAAAAGAGTCTGTTTCCTAGTTTGTCTCTCCCCTTGCTCATTTGTTTTGTTTCTTAAATTTCACATATGGGTGAAATCATATGGTATCTGTCTTTCTCTGACAAATACACTTAGCATAATACACTGTAGCTCCAACCATGTCATTGCCAATGGCAAGATTCCAATTCCTTTTGATGACTCAGTAATATTCCATGGTGTATGTTTTTTTTTTTATTTTTTTTTAACGTTTATTTATTTTTGAGACAGGGAGAGACAGAGCATGAACGGGGGAGGGTCAGAGAGAGGGAGGCACAGAATCTGAAACAGGCTTCAGGCTCTGAGCTGTCAGCACAGAGCCCGACACGGGGCTCGAACTCACGGACCGTGAGATCATGACCTGAGCCGAAGTCGGCCGCTTAACCGACTGAGCCACCCAGGCACCCCTCCATAAGTGTATGTTTTTTATCCATTCATCAGTCGTGGACGCTTGGGCTGCTTCCGTAACTTGGCTATCGTTTCTTTTTTTAATGTTTATTTATTTTTGAGAGAGAGAGAGGGAGACAGAGCACAAGTGGAGGAGGGGCAGAGAGAGAGAGAGAGAGGGAGACACAGACTCCGAAGCAGGCTCCAGGCTCTAAGCTGTCAGCACAGAGCCGGACGTGGGGATCGAACTCATGAACGTGAGATCATGACCTGGGCTGAAGTCAGATGCTCAACCGACTGAGCCCCCGGGTGCCCCTGTGATTTGCCTATTGTTGATAACGCTGGTATGAACATCGGGGTGCATATACCCCCTTGTAATCCAATCAATTTAAATATCCTTCTCGGACCAAACAAAGCTCACCCGAGGACTGCATTTAGCCAGTTGACTGCAAGTTTGCTGTAAATGTTTCCTACAAACACTGCATATGGATTAAGCCAGGGCGAGGCATGCTTGCCCTGTGCTGTCATCCTCTCCCTGCTGCAGAAAGGCTGCAGGACTTGGGCCAGCATGGAGGGCCTACGGGAAAGGGCCCCTGACACCTGTGCTGTATGTGCAGCGTTGTGGACATCGCTCCCTATGTTTGATGATGCTCTGTCTCTTCTGCGAACGCACCGGGAAAAGGCCTCTCTGGTCCTGGGACCTACGGGAGTCATGTTTCTCCTCTTGCAACTGGTTCATGGATCCCGAACGGCGTGGGATCTGGTTTTGGCTGCTGGAGAGCTCAGAGGACAACCTGTAGCCTGTCTCTGTACCACGTAGGACCTCAAGGCCTGTACTTTGGATCGCTGTTTCATTCCTGGGCTCTTCTGACCTTTTCAACTTCTGTTTTCCATTTGTCACTCGTCCCGTGACCACACCTTTAAAATGTTAGTCTCTCAAATACAGAAGTTCTGTTATGTGTTTTCTGGAACAAGGCATGCTATAAATAAATAAGCCCATACAAAGTAGCAAGTGCTCAAAAAAAGGTTCGTTGAGTAAGTGACTGCTTAAATGATTCATCTTGCAGAACCACCCAGAGCCTTGCACAGCAGGTGTTCAGGAAAGAGGGCAGGATGTTAGGGTGGAAAGCGACAGTTTAGAGATGGAGAGACAATAGGTCTGTCATTTCCCAGCCACTAGGACCTCACACAAATTACTTAACCTCTCTCAGCCTTCATTTTCCCACCTGTAAAATGGGGAGAATCTCAGCACTCACCTTATTCATCAGAGCTGTTGGAGGATTGAGTGGGATTATGTATGTAAAGTGCCTGGTACATAGCAGGCACTTGATAAATAGCGGCTGTGACTATTAACAAGAGCTCCCTCATATATGATGTCATTCTTTAATAGCCTAATTAATAAGGTGCAGCATGAGTGAGAATAGACTCTTGCTCTGCTCAAGCCCGCTAGAATCTGACAACGAAGCCACATGTACACGCTGGGGAATAAAATGGAAATGAGTTCTGGGAAGGTCTCCAGTTCCTCAGCTCTCTGTCCCAAGTCTCTGCTTACCACGCCCAGGGCCCCCGTGGTTACAGCAGTGATGGCAGGTCGCTTCCTGTTGGGGGTGGGGGTGGGGGGGTGGGGGGGGGGGGGGGGGGGGGGCGGGGGGGGTGAGGGGGCGGGCATCACTCTCCAGCGTGCTCAGGTGCTGAAGACCCTGTCCTGCCCCGTGCATAACTCAGCTCCCCAGCCCGAGTCCTGAACACCCCTTTTCTGGAAGCCTCTGGCAGTTTCCCCCAAGCTTTCCAGCTCCTTCCCTGGCCCTGAGCGGCCCCTTTCCTAGTGATCACTTAGGAGCAAATCCATCATGAAGGGTCATTTACCCTCATTGCTTGATGGCCGCACCCCCACTGTAGGAAATTTGTGCCCTGCTGGTGTTCAGGGGGAGCACTTCCCGAGGACTGAATGGAGCACGGGGAGGGCAGTCCTCTGGGGACAGAACATCAGGTGGACAGTCAGGAACGTAGCCCTGTAGTATCGTGTTGGGTTAGGTAAATTCATCACAGATCTTCGCCGCGGGAAGTGGCATTATGGGGAACATAAGGTCTGCCTAAATGCCAAAAATTGATCCAGAGGGGGCATCGTTGTGGAGGGCAGAGGTTCCCAAAGTGTGGTCCCGGCACCAAAAGCATCAGCATCAACTGGGAATGTGTGATAAATGCAAATCACCCCACCCCACCCCAGAACTACTGAGTCACAAAACCTGGGTGTGGGCCCAGCACTCCGTGTTCTAATAAGCCCTCAGGGTGATTTGGATGCACGTGCCGTTTGTAGACCAGTGGAGTAGAGCCTGGGTTCCAGCTCCCAGCCTGAACTCCCTCATCTGTAAAGAAGGCCGGTGCTTCTACAGTAGGAGTCTGTCAGGGAAATGAGACTGATGTGGGAATCGGGCCTCCCCCGGTGGGTGCCGAGCAATCCCCTCACCTGGTCAAGCATCAAGCCAACCTTGGAGTGTTGATTGCCACCCGGTGCTGCTCGGGGACGGGCACCGTCAGTCACAGACCCTAAGACAAGGGCTTCAGCAGGGAGGAGAAAAGAAGACAAAGTTACCGGAAACCTGATTGGAAGGGTTGATTGGGCCCCTAAATGCCAACCTTGGGATTTTTATTTGAAATGTTTGGTTTTTTTTCTGCAACAGAAAAACAGGATCCTTGGGATTCCTGAGGCCCCTGGGGCCGCCTTGCCCCGGTCCTTCTAGACCACGTTGCAGCCCCTGGCAAGTCCCTGGTGGGGCTGCTGGAAGGGCACCTGCTGGCGCCCAGCGTCCCCCCCTACACAGGTTAGCTCGCTCCCTCTGGTCAGGCCCTCTCTTCGCCCCCCTGGGCGGCGCTCAGGCAGGGGGTGGCTAAGGCGGGGCAGGAGGCCCCGGAGGCCTGGAGAGGCCCTGGCTGCCCCGGGAGGGCCTGGCGCGGTCCGGGAACCGGCTCCTGGGAGAGCAGAACCGCGTGCTTGGAATGCAAGCGTCGCTCAACGCATTCCTTCTGGCTGCGGGTGAAGGGAGGAAGCCGACTGCGGCGCTCGATCGGCCGGGCGCTGCACGGGTCGCCCCTGCCCCGTCCTCCTGCAAGAAAGCACAAAGAAAGTTTATTTGTGCTCCTGTGTTGTCTGTCTCCCCAGCCACCCGGGGCGCGGGGCTGTTGACCACTGATTCCCGGGACTAGCACGGTGCCAGGAACTTAGTAGATGTTAGGAGGATTTGATGAGTCAACACTTCATAGACAATGTATTGGGAGAAGGCTTTAGGAATTTTCCCCCTTAAACCCAGCCCACAGTCACCCTGAGCGCTCAGTTCCCTCCCACCTACCACTCCCAGGGGAAGCTTCCCTGTGTCAGGATCTCAGAGTGTGATCCCAGGGAATGGCCCCGGGCTTGGATATTCAGCTCCGCCCTTGATGACAGCTGGGCTCAGGGCCGCTAATAGGACTTGTCCAAAGTCAGGCAGCTAGCAAGGAGCTCTCCCCCTCCCTCCCCCACTCCATGGGGATCTGAAGCTAGGTTAAAGGACCCAGGTCCAGTGCTCTTTCTGTCTGAGCTCCACAAGGAGACAGGCCCTGCTGAAACTTTACCCTGGCATCCTGGGGGTTTTTCTCACTTGGATTCCAGAGTTGCTGAAACTCATAAAGGAATTGACTCCTTAAGAAAACAAAACAGGGGCGCCTGGGTGGCTCAGTCTGTTAAGCGTCTGACTTTGGCTCAGGTCATGATCTCACGGTGGGTGAGTTCGAGCCCTGCCTAGGGCTCTGTGCTGACAGCCTGGAGCCTGCTTTGGATTCTGTTTCTCTCTCTCTGTTCTTTCTCTGCCTGTTCTCTGTCTTTCAAAAAAAAAAAAAAAGAAAGAAAGAAAACAAAACATAGCAACCTCCAGCAAGATTTTCAATAAAATCTTTTTTTTTTTCAGCTTCATTGATGAATAGTGGACACATAAAATTGTGGGAGGTTTTTGAGCTCTCAAATTTAAGGGAGCCCAATGGCCTTAAACAGGGTCTGTGATTTTCCTGTTGTGTTTCTGCTCCAGCTATAGGAGCATGATCACGTGATTAACAGGCTCTTTGGTAACGCCCGGAAAGCCCTCCAGTTAAAATTAGGAACCTAATAGGGACTTCGGTTACCATTGTTATTCAACATTGATCTGCAAGTGTAAGCCACCCCTGTAAGATGTGAAGCAAGAAGGTGAGGGGGAGAAAAAGACACTATTACTGCTTAAGGACTCTGAAATTGGAGTTGATATCAACTATTTTATCTGATTCTTGTAGTACCTCAGCAAGCTGGGCAATGCTTACTTGTATCTCGGTATTATTTTCGTAGTTTACGTGCAAGGGAATTAAACTTCGTAGATCATAAATCACTCGCTTGTGTTTATCCACCCAATGGTCCTGTGGCTCCAGAGTGCTACTGCTGTTGGAAAGGAGGCAAAATGAAGCTGAGTTAAAGAGGATCTGTTTGCGCCCCTTGGAAACCAAGAGAGTTAACTGAAAAAGCTACTAGGATTAATAAGAGATTCAGTGAAGCAACTGGATAGGAAAGGTGATCACAGTCCTGTATATCTGTACCATCTACGTACCAACAAAACCAACTAGAAAATAGAATTTTTATTAAGAAGATCTCAGTCGTAAAATACCAATGATGAAACTGAACAAGAAATCTGAAAAATTTACAAGAAGAAACGACAAATTCTTATTGAGAAACACACAAAGAAATAAAGGCAGGTTCTGTCATACGATGGTCTTGGATGGGAAGACTGGATATTGTACAGCTGTCAGCTTCCCTCGAGTTACACTGCAAGTTTAATGAGTGTCCAACAAGAAATCTTTGAAATATTTAATAACGTTTGTTGTATCTGGAAGAATAAAAAATCAAAATATCTTGAAAAATAAGTCATTAAAATTTCTTTTTAATATTTATTTTAGAGAGAGAGGGAACAAGTGAGGGAAGGACAGAGAGAGAGAGGGAGACACAGAATCTGAAACAGGCTCCAGGCTCTGTCAGCACAGAGCCCAAGGCGGGGCTTGAACTCACGAGCCTTGAGATCAAGACCTGAGTCGAAGTCGGATACCTAACCGACTGAGCCACCCAGGCACCCCAAGAGTCATTTTTTAAGAAGAGTAATTCGATGTGTGAAGGAAAATAACAGCTGTCCTGGAACATTTTAGAACACACTAAAGCTATAAAAATCAAAACAGAGTGGAAAGGATGTAACAGATGGCAAAAAAAAAAAAAAAAAAAAAAAAAGATTAAAAAAAACACAACCAGCTCACAGACAGTCCTTATCACCTAGAGGCTTCAGTATATGATAAAGATAGCAGCACAAATCACCAGGTAAAGAATGGTTCCATAGGAAGGCTACTACGATTGGCCAGCCATCTGGAAAAAAGAGCCTTGCCTCTCGCTATATATAAAATAAATTTCTGATGGAGGAAAGAGTTTAAAAAAAATGAGTCCATCCAAAGGGCTAGTATCCAAAGAGCTCACCAAACTCCACACCCGAAAAACAAATAACCCAGTGAAGAAATGGGCAGAAAACATGAATAGACACTTCTCTAAAGAAGACATCCGGATGGCCAACAGGCACATGAAAAGATGCTCAACGTCGCTCCTCATCAGGGAAATACAAATCAAAACCACACTCAGATATCACCTCACGCCAGTCAGAGTGGCCAAAATGAACAAATCAGGAGACTATAGATGCTGGAGAGGATGTGGAGAAACGGGAACCCTCTTGCACTGTTGGTGGGAATGCAAATTGGTGCAGCCGCTCTGGAAAACAGTGTGGAGGTTCCTCATAAAATTAAAAATAGACCTACCCTATGACCCAGCAATAGCACTGCTAGGAATTTACCCAAGGATTACAGGAGTACTGATGCATAGGGGCACTTGTACCCCAATGTTTATAGCAGCACTCCAACAATAGCCAAATTATGGAAAGAGCCTAAATGTCCATCAACTGATGAATGGATAAAGAAATTGTGGTTTATATACACAATGGAGTACTACACGGCAATGAGAAAGAACGAAATATGGCCCTTTGTAGCAACGTGGATGGAACTGGAGAGTGTGATGCTAAGTGATATAAGCCATACAGAGAAAGGCAGATACCATATGTTTTCACTCTTATGTGGATCCTGAGAAACTTAACGGAAACCCATGGGGGAGGGGAAGGAAAAAAAAAAAGAGGTTAGAGTGGAAGAGAGCCAAAGCATAAGAGACTGTTAAAAACTGAGAACAAACTGAGGGGTTATGGGGGGTGGGAGGGAGGGGAGGGTGGGTGATGGATATTGAGGAGGGCACCTTTTGGGATGAGCACTGGGTGTTGTATGGAAACCAATTTGACAATAAATTTCATATATTGAAAAAAATAAAATAAAAAAATGAGTCCATCAAAATTAAAAGAGAATCAAAATGACTCTTTTTCTACATTGGTTTTACATTTTACCCTTTTGTTTGGAAGTTGCAGAAATAGTCCAGAATCCTCAGGTACCCCGTCACCTAGCTCTCCCCAGCGACAGCTTCTTATGTAACTATGGGACATTTTCAAAACCAGGAAATTGAAATTGGTACAATGCTATTAACAAACCACAGAACTTACTTGGATGAGGACATATTACACAATATGAAATACAATTCCATTTAATTTTTTTTAACGTTTATTTATTTTGAGAGAGAGAGTGCGAGTGGGGGAGAGGGGCAGAGGGAGAAAAAAGACTGAGAGACAGAGAGAGAGAGAGAGAGAGAGAGAGAGAATTTTAAGCAGGCTCCAAGCTCAGCTTGGAGGGCTCAATCCCACGACCCTGGGATCATGACCTGAGCTGAAATCAAGAGTCAGATGCTCAACCGACTGAGCCACCCAGTTGCTCCTAGATTCTTTTCGTTTTAATTTTTTTTAGAGTTTCTTCTTTTATTTTGAGAGAGAGAGAGCCAGTGGCGTAGGGGCAGAGAGAAAGGGGAGAGACAACCCTGAGCAATCTCTGCAGTGTCAGCGCGGAGCCCGATGTGGGGCTCGAACCCATGAACCGTGAGGTCATGACCTGAGCTGAAATCAAGAGTTGGGCACTTAGCACTTCGCTGACTGAGACGCCCAAGTGCCCTTATATTTTTTTTAATGGTATAGAAAACTGTCAATAGGAAATAGGAAATGCAAGGTAAAGAATGATGTACACATATCCCAATATTGATGATTGTGTGTGTGTCTGGTTCATCCATATCTGTACCTATACCCCATATCTACGTCTGGAAGGAAATATACCACCATGTTAATAGTAGTCATCTCTGAGTAGTCGGATGCTTTTCTGTATTTGCCCTTCCCTTTTAAAAGTACTGAGCAGCTATCACTTTTATAGTATTATTTTTCAATGGCTTTATTGAACTATCATTTATTCGCCATAAAATATACCCTACCTTTATATTATTTTTAAATTACTATATAATCTGTCCGCTTAAAAACAAATGTGTACTTAGAAAATAGAACGTGATTTAAAACTAAAAACGAATCTATGGGGCGCCCGGGTGGCGCAGTCAGTTAAGCGTCCGACTTCAGCCAGGTCACGATCTCGCGGTCCGTGAGTTCGAGCCCCGCGTCAGGCTCTGGGCTGATGGCTCAGAGCCTGGAGCCTGTTTCCGATTCTGTGTCCCCCTCTCTCTCTGCCCCTCCCCCGTTCATGCTCTGTCTCTCTCTGTCCCAAAAATAAACGTTGAAAAAAAAAAACTAAAAACGAATCTAGATGGTATCAGTTAGGATTTCACCAAAGAAACAAAAAAAAAATACACCAGTATGTATGTGTGTGTATATATATATGTATATATGTGTATATATATATGTATATATATGTGTGTGTGTATATATATATATATATATAAACACCACCGACCTGTACACTTTAAAGGGGTGAATTGTATGGCATGTGAATTATATCTCAATAAAGCCATTACCAAAAAAATCCCTGGCTCTGCCCCTCGCAATAGCTGGAAGAGGGACATCCCCTGCCTCTGCCTCAGTTTCCTTCTCTTCAATGGCAATAGTGACAGCGGGGACCTCACGAGCTTGTTGTGTTAATGAGAATTACTTAACTGTTTCACACAGTGCTGGATACACCTGGAGCCCTTGGTAAATACTAACAACATGGAACATTCTCAAGGGCTGGGCACCAGCATCGGGCACCACTAGGCAGGTTCCTGCATGAGGTCAGCACTCTTCCAAGTGCTAATGTGTGCGGACTGGGCAGGGGAGGAGACGAGGCCCAGAGCAGGCCAACCCAGAGCTCTCTAAGGGATGGGGCAGGGACTGGAAGCCAGGTATTCGTGATGCTGGAGTCTGGGTTCTGAGCCATCAGGCAACTCTGGTTTTCATGTAGCTTTGCCTTTATGTTTGCATGGATTTTTTTTTTTTTTTTTCTACTCGGACCCACTTTATTCTAGAAGATGTTGCCTGCACAGCCTGAAGCTAAGTTTCAGCCACCCCCACCTCCTTCCAAATTGCTTCTGGCCTTTTCTCTTGCTTAGGATACTTTCCAAGGTATAAAATGCCCCCAGAGAAAGGCTGCATGAGACCTGGCAAGCGGCCCGCGTTGGGTCCCCAGGGTCAGGCCTTTGGGAGGAAAGGCTCGGACTCTGCTCAGCCCCCTCCTCGCTTGTAGGCACCTCCTGGCCTGGGCCTCGACATGGAAAACACGCAGATTATGATACTCTACTTGCCGTGGGATGTTGAGAGGCTTGCTTACCAGCCCTGAGAGGCTCCAAACGTGGAGCCCGGTCCCCGGAGACCCCCGCTGGCAGGGAAACGGTGGCCTGGGGCTGGCCCACACCCAGCAAGCTTGAGAGCCAGTGGCGCTGAGGCTGCTAAAAATAAAAGTCAAGTCTCGCAGGGACGTGGGCCGGGCCGGAAGCGGGACTCGCCCCAGGGGGAGGGGCGTGGGAGAGGAGGGTCTTGATCTGACCCCCACCTGCAGTGTGGGTGGGGGGCTGATTCTTCTCCCCAGCACCAGCCCCCCGCCCCATCCCCAACTATAGCACAGGGGGTGGGGCCCGGTCTGCCCAGCCCAGCTCGAGGCAGTGAGAAAAGTCCACCTCGAGAGCGCTGACCCATGGGAATGCAGTGCGAGCTGCGTGTGTAATTCTGAATTTTCCAATATCGACACTTAAAGAAAGAAGCGGGGAAATTAATTTTCATCATATAGTTAATCTAACATATTGAAATGCGGGTCATTTCAACGTGTCGTCAATATAAAAATTGTCATGAAATAAATTCTCCTCTTTGCAGTGAGTCTTGGAAATGCGTGTATTTTACATTTATTTATTTATTTATTTATATTTATTTTTTTTAACGTTTATTTATTTTTGAGACAGAGAGAGATAGAGCATGAACGGGGTGGGTCAGAGAGAGACGGAGACACAGAATCCGAAACAGGCTCCAGGCTCTGAGCTGTCATCACAGAGCCCGACGCGGGGCTGGAACTCACTGGCCGGGAGATCGTGACCTGAGCTGAAGTCGGACACTTAGCCGACTGAGCCACCCAGGAGCCCCTACATTTATTTTTGAGAGACAGAGTGAGACAGAGTGTGAGTGGGGAAGGGGCAGAGAGAGAGGGAGACTCAGAATCCCAAGCAGGCTCCAGGCTCTGAGCTGTCAGCACAGAGCCCGATGCAGGGCTTGAACCCACAGACCGTGAGATCACGACCTGAGCTGAAGTGGGACGCTCAACCGACTGAGCCACCCAGGCGCCCCAAAATGCGTGTATTAGAGGTACAGCTCATCTCAATTTCGAGTGACCACATTTCAAGTGCGGCCTTAGTTCCGAGTTGCCACGGTAACACATTATCACAATCTCAGTGGCTCAAAACAGCATAAATGTATCATCTTAGGATTCTGGATGCCGCAAGTCTTGAAATGAGTCTTATGGGGGCTTTTAAAATCAAGGTGTTGGGGCGCCTGGGTGGCTCAGTCGGTTAAGCGTCCGACTTCGGCTCAGGTCATGATCTCACAGTTCGTGGGTTCAAGCCCTGCGTCGGGCTCTGTGCTGACAGCTCAGAGCCTGGAGCCTGTTTCATATTCTGTGTCTGCCTCTTTCTCTGACCCACCCCTGTTCATGCTCTCTCTCTGTCTCAAAAATAAATAAATGTTAAAAAAAAATTAAAAAAAAAATAAAATCAAGGTGTTGGCAGAGCTGGGTTCTCGCCGGAGACTCCGGGGGAGAATTCCTTCCTTATCTTTTCCAGCTTCTGGGGGCCACCTGCATGCCGTCCACGTGTCCCTTCCTCCGCCTCCAAAGGGCATCATCACAACCCTTGCTTCCATGGGCACATCTTCTCCCCCCTGCTTTGGCTGTCTGTCGCTTTGCCTTCCCTGACTCTGATCCCCTGGACTCCCACCTATGAGGATTCTTGTGATCATATTGGGTCCACCCAGATAATCCATAACCTCCCTGTCCCGAGATCCTTAATCACATTTGCAAAGTCCCTTTGCCATGGAAGGCAGCGTAGGCACCCTTTCGGGGGTTAGGATGTGGAGGTCAGCATGCCACATGTATCGGTGACTACCAGGCTGGAGGGCACAGCTCTAGGGAATCGAGGTGGAAAGTCTGGTAAGATCTCCTAGCTTCACAGTGCAGCCCAACCACCAACACGGTGTGGGGCCTTGGGCGAGTCACTTCATGTCCCTGCTTGACTCTGCTTGCCTCGTGCATAAGATGGGGCTGATGATGCCCACGCCTGAGAAAATGCAACAAGCTACCGGGCATATAAGTGCTTGTTCAACTGCAAGAGGGGTGGCAATACACTGGCAGGCTGGAGCCCGGGGCTGCCCCGTGCCGGGACACCTGACTGCTTGGAGGGTCCTCAGAGGCCATCGGTACAGCGGCCTCGTTTTACACATGGGGAAACCGAGGCCCAGAGCCGGAAGAGGCTTGCAAAAGGTTCCTAGTGATTTGGCAGCTGAGCCAAGGAGGGGACCCAGTGGGAACCCTTCCCATCCATGTCACATTGCCCAACCGCTATGAGTCTCAGTTTCCTCACCTGTAAAAGGCAACTCGTAACAGGCTCTGGTGAAGGTCAAAGGATGTCCAGGTTTGTCCAGGGTGTCCAGGTTTGAACGTGCTCTGGGGACAGAGGGTTGTGTGAAGGAAGGTCTCGATGACACCTGGGCACAGCGTTGAGTATCTCTCCAGGGCAAAGGCGGCTGTGCCCTCTGCCTCCCTGGCTTGCAGGCCTCTGGATACTTCGGAGGACCTCAAGGGACCTGCTGAGCATCCTCACAAGCTCTTCCTGTCTTTCTGTCTATTCTCCTCTCCGCCATCTAGAACCAAGTCTGGGGAGCAGCAGGAAGCTGGCTTTCTCCTTGTTGACAAGGGGCCTGGAGCTCTTTCCTGGCAGGTGACCTCCCCAAGGCTCGGCTCTCACCTAGCTCTGCTCCTGCGCGGGCTGTGGATTGGTTGGGAGCAGGGGACCAGCTAAGTGCTCTTTGAGGCCTGGGGCTCTTGTTCTAGCTCTCCCGCTGGCTCGTCCCGCTGGCCTGGGCACCTGCCCTGGCCTCTCCGTGCCCAGCTGTACAGTGGGAGGCTGGGGTTTAGACCAGAGGTGCTTGCATTCTGGGGCACCCTCCACTGTCTTTCTGGGGGCCAACAGATAGCCTATTCCGGAGCCAAACCTTCCCCTGCACCAGTGGGCGGGGCCGGCCAGCTGGCAGGAGCCAGGGAGAAAGGCAGGAACCAGCGGAAACCACAGGAAAGCCAGTGGAGCAGGAACCCCAAGGTGGCTGTGGTCTGTGTCAGGTTCCCCCTCCGGACCAGTGTTCCAGCTCCATCTTGAACCTTGGACGGGGCGGGGCTGTCCTTCAAGCTTCAGGGAGACCCCTGGGCCAGAAGGAGGTGTGGGCACGGGTGGTAAGGCTCTGAAAACAGCCGGCGGCAGTTCAGAAAGGAATGCTCCAGATATTAACAACCTAATCCGCTCTTTAGCCAGGTTCCATGCCTGTGGGAGAAAGAGGCGCGTGTTCTTCCTTGGGATCCTGGCGACGTAAGAGTTGGCAGAAGCAGCACGGTGCTGAGCATGCTGGATACCCACCTGTGTGGTCCCCCGAGCGCCAGACCCTGTGCTGCGTCCTGTGCCCCCCCCCCCCGGGGAGACCCCTGGAGAGAGACGGTGGTCCTGCCCTCCTCAGGTTCAAGGGTCATTTTGTAGGCAGGGTCACCGAGGCCCACAGAGGGGAAGGGGCTGGTCTAAAGTCATTCACTGATCTGGAGGCAGAGGCAGGAAGAGGGAAGAGGGTGTTATGGCTTTGACTGATGGATCCTCGGGGGGGCTGGAGGCCGAGGGTTAAGACTGTGATGAGGATTGTAGTAGTAATATGAGGTGCAGGCCATGTGCTCACCACGTCCTTGCCATACGTTGGCCTGCTTCACCCCACAACGCCCCTATGAGGTAGAAGTTTAATATCACCATTTCACACATGGGGAAACTGAGGCACGGGGAGGCTCAATAACATGCCCAAGGACACGCGGCTACTAAATGACAGAGGCGTGGCTTGAACTGGACTGTTGGACTCCAACACATGCAGCCCAGACCAAATGCAAGTGTAAGGCTTGGGGAGACGGTCTTCAGTGACCTGCACCCCTTGACCCATCTCAGAGGGAATCCAGCTCGTGTACTGTGGGGAGGCCGTGACTGGCGGCCCTGTGAGGGCAGACAGGGCCAGAGCCTCAGGTCCTCCTCAAGGAGCAGGGGCCAGGACTGAGAAAAGATATCACCGGAGATTCCCATGGGAAGAGGGCATCTCTCCGTCAGACTCTTTGCGCTCAGAATCCAACATGGTCAGTGCTGGAGGCCTGTGACTCTCGCCAACCACCTGTCCACTGTGCAGAGAGGGAAAATGAGCTCAGAGATGGCAGGTGACTGGCCCAAGATCCCACAGCAAGAGTATAGAGTCCTGAGTAGGCTGAACACGGGACGTTGTGACGGTCTTGGGGGTTCAGAGTGTCCTCATTACCCTGCCCACCTGGCCCCCTATAGCCATACGTGGGAGGACAGCAGTAGCGGGGGGGGGGGGGCTTTCTCACCCACTGTCCCAAATGCTCCCATTCCACTGCTGGCCCTGGGATTTCCCGACAGGTGGGGCTGTGCTTGGGGGTGGGCTGGGGGGTAGAAATCCGTTGTTTCCAGAAAGAGAATCTTTAGTATCCATACCAACAAGCTACTGGGTGCAGGGAGAAGGGCCGGGGGTTGTGGCAAAAGACCCCGGTCCCAGGCAGGCTCTGCCCCTTGGCAGCTGGGTGCTCCCGGGTGAGTCACTTTTCTCCTCTGAGCTCCTTGTTTTCATCGGTACGCAGAGAACAGAGGCTGCACTTCTCCCAGAGTGGAGCCTACCGCCCCAGAGGGAGGGGAGAGGGTCGGGATGGCGGGCGGCGAGGGACGATGGCTCAGCTGACCTCCAGGAGAGAAATCTCAGGCCACCACCGGAGCCCCCAACCCGCCGAGTGCTCTGGGTCTCCCTGCCTGGACGGTGGTCATGTAACAGCTATGACAACACCAGCACCGTGCTCCCCAGCTTTTCTGAGGAGGAAAAGGCTGTGAGATGGGCGGGGATTGAGGAAAGGACCCGAAAAGGAAGAGTGGGCCTCCTTCCCCTTGGCCCAGCTGAGTGTGACACCCCCCTCCGGAATGGTCCCCCAAAGTCTGGACCACTTGAATGTGCTTTGCTTAAACAGACACACACGTCCCAGATGCTGAGGTGGCACATGAGATCCAGCTCCTGGCAAAGGGTCACTGGCACGCCAGTGCTCCCCTGACTTCATCCTTCTTCCTCATGGCCTGCATCATTCCATCCTTGTGGTGCTCCGGGCGTGGGCATCTCCCCTGGAGAAGAAGGGATGGCAGCCGGCCCAGAAGACTGCTGGACACACTTCTCATTTGTTTGACCATCCCCCAAAGCACTGGAGAGGATGCCACAGTGGGTAAAACCTCTGGTTGTGGGGGCAGAAACCTGCCTATCAGCTGTGTGTCCTTGGGGAACTTGCCTGGCCTCTCTGAACTCGTACCTTCATCTATAGAGTGAAGGAAATGATAACCTTCCTCCCAAGCCAGTTATCAATATTAAGTGTGGTCCTTGCAAGTAAAGTAGGTGCTCAATAAATAAGCTATCATCATTTTGTTACGGCTGTTTAAAAAATCAACTTGTGGTCTGCCCAGAACGAAAACCGGATCTCTCCCTTCTGTGTCGTTTCCGCAACATTATGTGGATCAAGTCACTGGACTGTAGGGTTTGGACCTGGCATAGACTGATCTGGATCCAAGTTCTGGCTCCTGGCCCTTGTGTAACCTTGAGTGGATGATTTTTACTCCTCAGAGCTTGGGTTTCCTCCTCCATGAAACGGGAGAAAATCACCACACTTCCTCGTGGGGTTTTACACAAGGTTCCTGAAGGGACGCATGCAAGCCCTCGGCACAGAGTCTGCTGTTCGGCGAGGCACCCACGGCTGTTTGGGATCCTTGTTTGGGATCTGTTTGGGATCCCTTGTTTGGGATCCTTCTGTTTTCATCAGACTGGGAATCCACCGTGTACAAAGCTAGTGGTTTCTGTGACCCTGGCACCCTGGCCACAACACTGGGACATTAGAATTTTCAGCCACGTGGCACAAGTGAAAACTGAGGCTTCGTCAGTGTCTGCTCTCGAGCTCAGCAGGGAGGCAGGGTAGTAGGGGAGAGCACGTCCTGTTTGCTCTGCTGGGGTTCAGAGGACAGATCCCAGAAGGCAGAGGACAGATCCCTGTCCCCTGGCCCAGGCTGTGGGTGTGGTGTCCCGCCCACCAGCTTCTGGACGTGTTGTCTCTTCCAGACCCACAAAGCCAATCCTGTCCTGGGACTTCCCCCCGGAGCCCCGCTGGCACGCCATGCAGGAGAGAGAAGAGTCCAGACCTTCAGTTAGGGGCTCACCCCTCAGAAGTGCAACCTCATGTGGGTCACTCCACTTCTCTGTGCCTCCGTTTCGTCATCGGAGTGGGATTCCCATCAAAAGGGTGCATCCCTATTCCACCACTTACCTGGAGTGGCCTTGAGAAAGTTACTTCCCTTTTCTTAATTTCTGTGCCTTTGCCTATAAAAAGAGGCTAATGGTAAAATGTTACAGTGGGATGTCAATGAAAACAGGAGGGCATAAAGCTGTCATTGCTATGACCTTCGCTGCATAATTAAAAGTCTACGTGTGTCTGCATCCACTGTTTCAAAAAAGACAAAGAAAATGTACTAAAACGTCCCTAGTCCCTCTGGACGCTGGGCTCATGGGTGACTTTTACTTCCTTCTATATATTACTTTTGTAGTTGTTTTTTTTTCTAGTTTTCCTACAATGAGTGTGTGTCTCTTCCAGTAAGAAATGAGCAATTAAAGGCCTAAAAAATAGCTGTCCCTACTATTCAGGGTTGTTAGCGGACCACAGTGAGGAGACGGCTGGTGAGCCCCCAGCTGTGGGCAAATGCTCTCGGTGCTGACCGTGCTCACCCTCTCCTCCTAGGGGCGGTCGGGGTTGGCATCAGGGTCGGGGTGTGCCCACAGGGCTGGCCCCTGTGGCTGGCAGCGGAGAGACTCATTGCCTCTTGAGGCCTCCCAGAGGATGTGACCTCATCGCGGCAGAAGACACAGACTTCAGCCAAAGGGAAGCTTGAAGAGGAAGGAAAATAACACGAAACCAAAGACCCGACTCCTAATTCCAGCTGCCTCCTCCACTCCCCCGCTCCCACTTGACCTTGCATGAGGCACCTGGCTTCTTTGGCCTCGGCTTCCCCATCTTTAAGACGGGGTGACATGGTGCCCGCCTCACGGGGGAGCTGTGGGGACCCAAGAAACAGTGGCTTTGCCTCCACCTTGCCTTCCCTCCCCTGGAATCACCTGAGAGAGGAGAGGTGAGGTGACAAATGAGGCGACAGGGCACTAATCTCAGGGCTTTGCTGGAAAACACACGGGTGAATGTTTTATCTTATTTTTTTAAATGTTTTTTTTTTTTTTTTAAATTTTGAAAGAGAGAGAGAGAGAAAGAGAGAGAGAGAGAGAGAGAGAGGGAGACACAGAATCTGAAGCAGGTTCCAGGCTCTGAGCTGTCAGCACAGAGCCCGACGCGGGGCTCGAACTCACAGACCGCGAGATCATGACCTGAGCCGAAGTCGGACGCTTAACTGACTGAGCCACCCAGGCGCCCCTCTTGCCTCTTTCTAATGTGGGAAATTCTCCTTCTTTTTTTAATTATCTGAAACATTTTGTATCTGAAACATTTTATATTCTTCAACAGAGATGAAGGGGATTCATCTCTGATGAATAATTTAGTATGCATGGTAAGCCTACTCTGGTTATTTTCAACAACTGTCTGTTTGGACTTATTAGTTGTCCTTTGGTTTTACCACTGCTTGTCCTGCATCAGTTGTCAAATATTTCAATTTTTTAAAATATTTATTTATTTTCAAGAGAGAGAGGGGGAGCATAAGTAGGGCAGGGGCAGAGAGAGAGGAAGGCAAGAATCTGAAGCAGGCTCCAGGCTCTGAGCTGTCAGCACAGAGCCCGATGCGGGGCTCGAACCCACGAACCATGAGATCATGACCTAAGCTGAAGTCCAACGCTTAACTGACTGAGCCACCCAGGCGCCCTGTTGAATGTTTTAAATCATCGTCTCGTCCTGCTGTTAACAGCCCAAAGGATCACCTGCGGGCGATCTGAGAACCTCCCCCCCCCCCCCCCCACTTCCTGGTGCTGCTTTCAGACAGCTGGGACTGCCTTGCTGCCTCGGGTGCAGCCTTCCCCTCCCTTCCCCTCCATGCTTCTGCCTCGCACACCCTCCCTCCCTGCAGCCAAACCTGCCTCCCACCTTGGTGTCTTCCCCCTCCCCCACACTCCTATCCTCTGCATCTCAAAATACTTTAAGGCTGAGTTTCAATGTCACTTCTTCCATGAAGCCCTCCCTTCCTGCTTCACCCAATGGACCCGGGATCCTGTGCCTTCTCTGAGCTACTCTTCCACATCAGTTTCAAAGATCTACTTATGTACCTGCTCCCCCCACTGAACTCAAGAGTTTCTCGAGGGTAGGGCGCACATCTTAACCCCTCCTCCCTAGTGTCTGGCGAGGGGAGGACAGGCGGGGCTCAGTGAGGCTTTGCTGAAACAGTGGCTGCCGCTCACGCTGTAAGAAGCGAGGATGTGTCTCTGCCCATCAGAAACGTGTGAGCAAAGGCAAGAACAGTAGTTGTCTTTAGAAGCAGCTTGTCCTCAATCCCGTCAGCTCAGCACCCAGGGGGGAGGGACGAAGATGTCATTCGCCAGGACACAGGTGCTGAGGCAGGAGTCCCCAGAACTTGCTGGGCCAGACCTCTACTTGTTGCTTCCACTTGTCCAGGGGAAGCAGGGAAGTCTCCACTACTGACCAGCTGTCCACCGTGGGGGCAAGAGAAGGAAGCCTGGCATGTTCACGCACAGCAAGGTGCTGTCGAACATACAAAGCACTCGTGCTTCCTTGCTGTATTTGGGCCTCGTGAAACCCCGTGCGCGGGGCAGGGCCAGCGAGGGCGCTGCCCCCCATTTTCAAATAAAGAGGCTCAGGCGCTGTGGGGTACTTGGTTTGGGCCCAGGTTGGATATGCACTTCATGGAAACCTCAACAGAAATGTACAAAAATTTCTTTCTTTGGTTTTATACATATTGAAAAGGACAGCCTCTGCTCAGTGGCTCAGAGGCCCTGATCAGTCAATTGAGAGAAGTGAATACCTTGCTTAATCAGGTGACACGAGATGCAGGAACGTGCAAAGGTGGTGGGGCCTCCAAGAGAAGGAGAGCAGAGAGTCTGTGCCCCCCTCCTTCTCCACATTTCTTCCGGCTGATCCTGGGAGCTTTCACCTGGAGGAGGTGCAGGGGAGTCCTGCTGGCGGGCACGGGGCTCAGGACCTACGCGGGCCCCCGCGCAGTGGGGAACGGAGATGCCAGGCCCGCCATGGCAGGTGCTGTGCGGGCCAGCCCGGCCCAGCTGGTGGTACTGAAGGAGAGTCAGAAGCCTGGTGGGCATGAGGTTCCCGAACGTTTCCAGAACCCCTTCAAGTCCTAGGTCTTTTCTGGGCCAGAGGCCCCAAACTGGAGACTTTCTGGGCTGGAAGGAGCTTGAAGGTCTTTAAATCCAAGCCCCAACTTGACGCCTTCCCGCCCTGGGCACAGATCTTCCTGTCTGAGAATTTCTTTGCTCGGGCCTTCCTCCCTACGCTCACCATCCATGCCCCAGGCCCGGTCCGTAGTCCCTCCCTCCCTTGGTCGGAGTCCGCCTCAACCTTCAGGGCTGGAGTGGCTCCCAGGCCTGCAGGGTTGTGTGCTCGGTGCAGAGGGCAACGAACGACCCGGCTGCCGTCTCCTGGACCCTTTGCCCCTGTGGTCCCAGCCCAAGGCCCCGCCACCTAAGCTGATGGCCAGCCACGGTCAGTCTGGCAGGCCCGCTGAGATCCTGCCGGGAGCCCGGCCCAACATCGTGCCCTGGGATTTTGGGCGCCAAGGGCAGGACCTCAGTCATCTTACTAAACCCCCCGTGGTGCTCGCTCGGGAGTCAGGTGTGGTTCGCACAGTCCCTACCCGCCCTAAGCGCTTGTCTCCACGATGCACTTGAGGAACATGGTGTCATCCTTCACGTAGGCATGCCTGGGTGACTGCAGCCTGTTGAGGGGGAAGAAGAGTGGGCAGCCACTGGCCACGTTGGTCTCACTCTGCGGCCGCTGGAAGGATGCCGAGCTCAGGTCGGGCCGGAAGGCGTCGATGGCGTGCTCGCGGTTGTTCTGGTCGAGAAGCATGAAGGTGACCTGTGCGGCAGGGGGCAGGTGGGAGGTCAGGCCCTGGGCGGCAGCACCGAGGGACACCTGTACAGCCCCACTGCCCCTGAGCTCAGGCAGACTGGCAGCCAAAGACGCAACGTGGGGACCACACCTGGCAGGTGGCAAGACCCGGTTAACGGAAGCATCTGGTTTCTGGGCAGTCTTCAAGGCTTGCCCCATGAGTAGGGATCAGAAGGGAGGGAATTCAGAACTGTGGTCAACTTTGGTCGGGTGCTAAAGGTGGGACCAAGCACCGACAAGGAGGCCAGACTCCATGGCCTCCAGTGCCCCTTCCTGCTGGGAACTGTTTGATCCATCAACTATGCCTGGGATCTTCTGGGGCAAGGCTGGGGGCAAGAACACACAGGCCTTCTGCAGAGGGGCTGTTAGTCAATGCCCTGAAATGTGAACGGAGTTTCTGGGATGCACAGATACGCGGCCCCTCGGAAGCCAATGATCTACATGTGACACACACCCCTCTCTCCAGCACATGTCACTGAAACACCCGATGCCTACCATAGTGGTTCTCGAATTGGGCAGCACTTTATTTTAAAACGTGGATTTATTTATTTGGCGGCGTGGTGGGGGGGGGGAGGGGGAGGGGCGCGGGGGAGGGGTGCAGAGAGAATCCCAAGCAGGCTCCTTGATGTTAGTGTGGAGCCCGATGGGGGGCTGGAACTCACCAACTGGGAGATCATGACCTGACCCAACACCAAGAGTCGACGCTTAACCGACCGAGCCACCCAGGTGCCGCTGGCTGCACTTTAGACAGCCCTGGGAAAGCTTTAAAAACCCTGATGCTCAGGCCTCACCATTTACAGTAGTGAGACTAGCCGTTGGTATTTTAAAACTCTGCCTGACAGGCATGGGAACCACGACCTGCTGACTGACTCATACCCAGACCACTGTGGCGTCCCCACCCCTGCCCCACCTGTCTTCCGTCCTCCGTCTGTCTCCCTCCGCCCTCGCTGAGGTCTGTATGCTCGACCCCACCCCTTCCTTACCCTGCCCCCTTGCCACTGCTGTTTGCCTGCAGGGAGTGCCCAGCCTTCCCCCACCTCCCTGCTCCCATCCCCCTTCTAAATACTTTTAATAGGCTTTATTTTTTAGAGCAGTTTGTGGGGCAGTGCCAAAGCGAATGGAAAATGTAGAGATCTCTCCATACCCTCTGCTCCTACCCAGCCTCCCCTCCCCCAGCAGCACCCACCCCAGGGTGGTCCATTTGCTGACACACCTAAACTGACACATCATAATCACCCAAAGTCCCCAGCTGACCTCCGGGTTCACCCCTGGTGCTGTGCGTTCATCCTCTGGGTTTGGACAGATGTACAATGACATGTATCCGGAATTATAGTACACAGAATAGTTTCACTGCCCTAAAAATATCTGTGTTCTGCCTCTTCGTCGCCCACTCCCCCCGCCCCCAACCCCTGGCAACTACTGATATTTTCACTGTCTTCATAGTTTTGCCTTTTCCAGAATGTCATATGGCTGGAACCACACAGTCTGTAGAGTCCCTTTCAGACTGGTTTCTTTCACTCAGTGATTTGCATTTAAGGGCCCTCTCTGTCTTTCGATGGCCTGGTGGCTCATGTCTTTTTAGCACAGATAATATTATCCACTCACCTACGGAAGGACATCTTGGCTACTCCCAAGTTTTGGCAATTATGAACGAAGCTGCTAGGGCCATCTGTGTGCAGGCTTTTGAAAACAAAAGCTTTCAACTCGTTTGGGCAAATACCAAGGAGTGTGGTTTCTGGATCATATGGTAAGAGTATGTTTAATTTTGTAACAAACTGCCAAACTACCTTCCAAAGTGGCTGTGCCCCATTTTGCAATCCTGCCAGCAACGAATGAGGGTTCTGGCTGTTCCAAGTCCTTGCCAGCATTTGGTGTTGTCAGTGTTTTGGATTGCGGCCATTCTGAGAGGTGCGCAGCGGTTAACTGCCTCCTTCCCTTTTCTCTGAAAATGCTGCCAGTTCAGGCTAGCCCCCCAGCACCTCCACCAGGAAGTTCTCCTTATTCACCCCAGCATGTGAATTTCATTTCTGCGTGCCATCCCGGGGAGCTGGTCCAGGCATTTTAGTCCCTCATGATAGCCATGGATACCAGACGTGAACTCTGGCTCTTCTCTTATAAAAGGTGAAGTTGAAATGCAGAGAGGACCAGGGCACAGGCTTCCCCACCCTGCCCGGTCACCCCCCCCCCCCCCGCCCGTACCTTGTTCCGAAAAGGCCAGGGCAACAGAGCATCATACTCCCCTCTCATGACCACAATGAAGAGAGACAGGTGGGTCCTCTTCCCCGTCCCGTCCCCGTTCAGGTAGAGCCGCAGACACAGCTTGTAGCCGTACTTGGCAGTGTAGAAAGCTGAAATGTGGAAGCCAGAGTCAGCACAGGGGTAGCTGGAGGGCATTGCACCTGCAGACGAGGAATCTGGGACCTGTGCTAGGCGTGCCCAAGGTCAGCGGCTTACGACTAAGCCGTCTGGGGCTGGAACCCAGTGCTCGTCTCCATTCCAGGGCATCAAGGAGAACCAGGCTCTTGGAGATCATCTAGCTCAGTGGCTGTTAACCCGCCGTCAGACCACAGATTGCCGGGCCTGAACTTTGATGCACTCGTGCCGGGCGAGGACTGAGAATGTGCATCTCTGACGGGGGATGGTGATGCTGTTGGCCCCCGGACCACACTTTTGATTTAACTAACGTGCATTTTGCAATGGGGAAACCAAGCCCAGCAAGGGCAAGTGGGCTGGCCCTGGTCTCACAGTGTGCCCGGGGCAGAGCCAGGACTAGGGGCCAGGGCTCCTACCCCACAACACTGACCTCTTTCTGCTGCCCTAGGCCAAGTGGTGCTCCCCCTGGAAGCTGGGGGAGACTGGGGCAGCTCACAGTTCTGCCCGCCACCTCGGCGAAGGCCCCTGAGGGATGAATCACCATCCCCTGGTGATTACGCAGAGGGGCCCGTGGGCTCTCTCCGTGGGTGGCCGAAGGGGCCGTCCAAGCGTGGGTGCCAGTGGCTGTCACCACGAGGGCCCCTCTGGGAGGGGCTGATGGAAGATGGTGGGGCGGGGGCAGGCAGAAAGAGGTGGAGGAGGGACAGACTGACAGGCTGACTCATCTGTCCCCTTACATTTTGGTAAAACAGGAAGCCAGAGACACTGCTTGCTTTTTCCCCCCCTTTGGAAAGAAGTGAGGAAAAAGGCCTACGTGGAGGAGGTGAGGCCACCCCATGAAGGGGGCTGCCCCTGAGGAAAGGGGCCCGGCTTTGGGAGCCAGCCCTGCTCTGTGCTGTGGGGCAAAGGCCAATGCCTCTCTTCCTCCCAGCCCTGTTGGTCGCGGGTGCAGAGGAGCTGAGGAACAGGGAAGGTATGAAGCTGGGGCAAACGTGAGAGGCTGTTAAGATTGTAATTTGCAGAGGGGCACCGTGGTGGCTTGGTCCGTTAAGTGTCTGCCTTCGGCTCAGGTCACGGTCTGGCGGTTCGTGAGTTCCAGCCCCGTGTCAGGCTCTATGCTGACAGCTCAGAGCCTGGAGCCCGCTTTGGATTCTGCGTCTCCCTCTCTATCCGCCCCTCCCCTGCTGGCGCTCTGTCTCTGTCACTGTCTCTCTCACAAATAAACATTAAAAAGTTAAAAAAAAAAAAAAAACCAAACCCATAATAAGATTGTAACTTGCAGAAATCCTCCTAACGATCCACCCCCTTACTTAGACGCATGTGTGTTAGGAGTCGGGAAAAGCACACAGGTCCGAGAACTTTGTGCACAAATATACACATTGTTACGGAAAGGGGCACCGGTTAATTCAGAGAAAAGTCTACTGAGTAACCAGCCAGGCCCAGGGGCCCCAGAAATGAATGCGAAATGGCCCGGTTTACAAAGCACTCACTCACCCGCTACCCACAACCTACGAAGGCACGGTTTACTGAACTCTCCACTGGCCTGACTTCAGGCCACTGGCTCTCTGACGGCAGGGGCCTGCGGGATGCCCCTGTGGAAAGCGTCCTCTGCACCCCTCTCATTTCCTCGAGCTCTGGCTCCAGCACTCTCTCGTAGCCCATAGCCACATAAGTAGCCAACAATCTTACTCCTATTTGCAGAATGTGACTGATCTCAGGGAGGCAGAAGGCGTGCCCGGTTCAAACAGCCCGAGCTCCATGTGGCTGGGTGGGGAGCCTGCCTCCTCCACGGTCCCAGTGTGGCCTCAGCGGTCACAGCATGGCAGTCACAGGGTTGGGCTGCTGTCCCTGCTTGTTTCCTGGGTCCAGGAGAGCCTGCCTCCCCCTGCTGGTCTGTGCCCCGGGGGGGGGGGGGGAGCCGGTACCTGGAGAGAAGAGGCTGACGGTCCGGCCACAGGCCGACTCGTGGCAGCGCCTGGTGACATTGGTGATCTTCCATAGGAAGGTGCCGTCGAAGGAGGCCTCCTCCATGAGGCGGAGGCTCTGCTCCAGCTTGCCCAGGGCCTGGTCTTTCTGGGCCAGGGTCTGCTGCAACTCCACCACCTGTGGGGAAGCCCATTCAGCCAGGGACACCAGAATGCAGCTTGGGGATGGGGAGGGGATGATAGGATAGAGAGACAGATCTGCTGAAAGTATGCCTTCCTGACCATGCCTCCCTCAAGTATCTGTTTCTGTTCATGCTGTCCCTCCCGGCTGGAATCCCCCTGCCTTTCTTCTCCACCGGCCACCTCTGTTTATCCATCAGGAATCTGGCATACACAGCCCTTCTTCTGGGAAGCCTCCAACCACTGCCCTCGCTCAGCTGGTCTCTCTCTCTCTCGTCTGTGTTCTACAGAGCCCTTACAGCAGGTTTTATAAGATGCATCTTTCTGTTTCTGCCCTTCCTACCAGATAGATGATTTCTCCTAATGAAGGCTGGGCCCATGCTCATTTTTCTCTCTGTGTCCAGGCCTTGCAAAGTTCCTGGCATGTAAGAGTAGAGCCAAGAAGGCTGTTGATGAACTGAAGCCATGGTTGCTGCCCTCGGAGAGCCCTCCTTCTAACTGGGGCAAGAGTTACATGAAGAGAGGTTTTACTCGGTCACTTGAACCCAGTGCCTTGCTTTTCTGGTGGGTTCGCCCGTTGACATTTGAAAAAAATACAGATTTATTCTTGGGTATGCTCGGGTAGGGAAGGTAGGAATGGAAGTGAGTATCCTTTAAGGAAATTGAATCCCTGATTTTACTGATGGGAAAGCTAAAATCTTGAGAGGGGAAATGACTTACTCAGACCTACCCAGCAAGTTAATGGTGGAGCTGAAACTAAAATCCAGGCCTAACTCAACTTGAGACAATGATATAGTATTGCTGGACCATCACCCCCCCCACCGCCCCCCCCAAAAAAAACCCCAAAAACCAAAACCCAACAACAAAAAACAACATTAGCATGGTGACTGGTTATATCAAGAAAAGTATAAGCTCTGGAACAAAGGAGGGCATAGTCCTGCTCAACCAAGAACTATCAGATAGGTGAATCATCTGGAGTTGGTCTGGGACCACCCCCCAAGTGTGGGGGATTCTCTAGAGACTGAGACAGAGCATATGAGGACAGCATGAAGCGATGTGCTTTGATAAAGGTGTGAACACACCAGGAATGTTTGGCTTCAAGAAGGAAACACTATATCTGAAGGGCTTCTATGGGGACTAGAAGGCAGATTTGTTTTGTGGGCCCTGAACAATGCAGGGGAGACACACAGAGAGGCTGATTTTAGTTTAGCATAAGGAAGAACTTTCTCATAGTGAACAATGTCTACCAGTGGAATGAGATGCTTGGGAAGGGACTATCCTATCACGGAAGAAGTTCAGGCAAAGGAAATGAAGCATACTGGATGGAGGAGTTTGCCCTGGACTACAACTTGAGACTCGGTGCTCTTCCTGAGCACGGGAGAGATATTTCTGATGGGCAGGGGTGATTGCTCTGTGCGCGGAGAATGCTTAGAAGGAAGGTGGCTGGTCCGCTGCTCTGGAGACAAGATGGGGCAAAGGGGACCCCCGAGCCAGCCTTGAAGGTAAGCTTGCCTCCCATGCTCACCCTTTGCTCCAAGCTCAGGATGTGCTCACGGTCGAGCTGGCTCTGGTGGATGGAGGCTGCTAAAGCCAGGTGGGAAGCCTCCACCTCCTTGTTGAGGACAGCGACGATGTTCTCAAACACACGCAGCTTCTCCTCTAGCTCAGCCAGGAGCTTCTCTTTCATTAAGTGCTGCAGGGCCAGCTCATCCTGGCTCTCAGAGCAGGGTGCCCGGTAGCAGTCAACTTCCAGGTCCCCAGCCACCTCCACGGCCGCCTGTAGCTGCAGGTCTGACAGATTCTGCTCCAGGGCCAGGGGCCCAGAGCCCAGGCCAGAGCCCAGCTGGGCCTTCCACTGTTTCACGAACGCCAACAGCAGATTTAGGTGGGTGGTCTGGGAGGTGACCTCATGCTCCTGCATGAGCTTTGGGCTCCCCTGTCGAGAGAGCGGGGCTGGTCAGTGAAAACAGAGAAGGCTGAGAAGAACCAGGGACCAGGGGAGACACCTGCCACCCAACGGCTGCCAAGGAAAGTCAGATCCATTCACCCAGCACAAGGGTGTGTGTAGCAAGAGGGATTTGGATGAGGATCCTGGCATCAGACACGCCCAGGCTGAGCCATGTGCACCCCAGCCTCTAGAGCAACAATTCTGCCCTGCCCTTGAGTGCAGTGATAATTCAGGACCACGGAGAGAGGCCGGGGGGGGTGGGGGAGGGGGTGTATTTTGGCGATGCTACAGGGCCCAGGTGAGACATTAAGAAGAACTTTCCTGAGTATGGGGATGATTCACTAGTGGGATTTGTTGCTCGGGGAAGTCATTAATGTAAGGGACATCCAGAGGAGTAGCTTGATGTGGGAAAATCTGGGAGGGGCTGAAGTGGTCTCCTTTCTCACACCCAGATGCTTACCTTGTAGGAGCAGCCAACACCAGCAAAGGGGCACCCAGCTTCAGCCTCAGCCACCTCGGGGCGATCCTGGGAACAATAACCAGGTCATTAGGTGTCACGTGTGTCCCAGTGGCCACCACTGCGGCTCCCTGCAAAGCACTGGGATCTGCCAGGGCATGAGCTGGGCTGGCTCACATGACTTTGCACAGGCTGTTCCTTCTGCCTGGATGACTCTTTGCCCTCCTTCAAGCATCAGCCCTTGCAGGACTGTCCTTCACAACAGGGTCAAGGCCTCTGTCATGATCCTGGGCAGTGCTGCTACCTCTTGCACTGGGGCATGTTCCCCCCAGCCCCACAGTCGTCATTCGCTCTTTGGTCGGCCCCACGGGTCTGAGGGTCTGTCACAGCTGTGCTCCCAGCATTGTCCCAGGGGAGACACTGGGAGCATGCTGGGCTGCATGACTGAGCACCTCCCTCCTCCTGAAGCCCAGGAGGCCTCTGCTCCCAAATGCACCCCTCCTTGGCAATCCATCCTTGACTGACTGAGGCATGTCTGCTCTGCACTGCTGTCCCTTACAGATAACGTGTGCCCTGAGGGGAGGGACGCAGACAGGATGCGACAGCAACTTGACAACACTGTTAACCAACTTATGCACCTGAGGAGTTTACAAAATGCTTTCATGATCATGATTCTGATCAGGGCCCCTAACAACACTGTGAGGAAGGCAGAATAGTTTTTTTTGGTTCCCGTTTTACTGATGAAGAAACTGAGGCTCGTAGAGGGGAAAGAGTCTGCCCAGGAAGGAACAGCCATGGAGCAGCAGAGCCACAGAGCTCTTTCCACACAATATCACCATCTCTTATCAAGAATAAACCCATGGGAGGGGGTGCCTGGGTGGCTCAGTCAGTTAAGCATCCGACTTCAGCTCAGGTCAGGATCTCACGGTTTGTGAGTTTGAGCCCCGCATCGGGCTTCGTGCTGACAGCTCAGAGCCTGGAGCCTGCTTGGGATTCTGGGTCTCCCTCTCGCTCTGCCTCTCCCCTGCTTGTGCTCTCTCTCTCTCTCTCAATAATAAATAAACATTAAAAAAAATAACAAACTCATGCGAGATTGGCAGAAAAAATTTTCCAAAACATATTATCTATAAAGGGCTTGTATCCCGAATATATAAAGAGCTCTCACAATTCAATAAACAAGACAAGCAACCTAACAAAATGGGCAAAATAATGAATAGATACATTGGAAAAGGAACTAACTAACCTATGGAAATATGCTCAACATCACTCATCATCCCAGAAATGCGAATTATAATGAAATACTACAGTGAACTACCACGATCTACTCACTAGATGGCCAACATTAAAAAAGAACGACAATATCAGTTTTTGGTGAGGATGTGGAGGAACTTGGGAGTGAAAAATGGTACACCCAACTTTGGAAAAATTGATGCAAGTATATCATACAGTCAAATGATACTTAAAAAGCAACTTTCTTATAAAAGCACGCTTATAAAGTTATTGCACAACCCACACATTGCATTCCTAGGAATTTACCCAAGAGAACCTGAAACACACATCCCTGTGTGTGTGAATGTTCAGAGTAGCTTTCTCCATGATGGCCCCAAACTGGAAGCAATCCAAACATCCATCAAGGGGTGAATGGATACACAAAGTGTGCTGTGCCCACACACTGGAACATTCCCTAGCCGTCAGATGAACTGAACTGCCGATACGTGCAATGACACCGAAGAACCCCCAGAGCATTACGGTAAGTGAAAGAAGTCAAACACTACAAGAAAAGACTACATACTATGATTCCATTCTTAGGAGATTTCTAGAAAAAAATAAACGCTAGTGACAGAAAGTGGATTCAGTGGCTGCCTGGGGCCGCAGCTGGGGAGACTGACTAGCCGGGGGGCACGAGGAAGCTTTTTCAGGCGTGGAAACGTTCGCCACCTTTGCTGTAATGGTCACACGATGTACACATTGCTTGGCATTCGTCAAACTCGAGCGAAATTCACTTGAGTGAGTTTTATTGCGTATAAGTAATACCTTGATTTTTCCAAGAGCTTTGTTTGTTTTTAAAAAAGAATAATGTTATGCGGCAAAATGAAGGGAGATACGGAGAAAAGCGGGGGGAAAGGAGAGGTCTTTTAGGCTAAGCAAATACAAGGCCACACTAGTTATTATTCTTTAAAAGTAAAATAAACAAGAGCTGTGGGTTTACTGAGTATACTTGGTGTGGGGCACAGAACACAGCTCAGCAAAGGGCCGCCCTCCCCTTCACCGCCTGCCCCGGGGCTTCAAGCACAACTTGTTCCCGGCAAGGAATGGAACACAGATGTTTCACCCGGGGCGGGGGTAGAGGGCAGCTTTGGCAGAGACCCAGCCTGTGGCGACAGGGCCTCTCCCAGCAGGTAGCTTTCAACACTTGGCCACAATGGAGTGCCTGAGGCTAGAAGTGGACCTGGTTCCTGAGTGAAGGGACGGACCAGGGGTAAGCTCTCGCCCCCTAAGTCTGAAGTGAGTCACAGAAGGGATAACGAAGCAAAAGTGACAAAACTAAGGGTGGAATTTCAGACATCACCCGCAGGTGGAGGAGCACGTGTTCTTTCGGCCGCTGCACGTTGCTGGTGTGGTCTGTGCAGGCAAAGTGCGCTGCGGCACGGAAAGCACCTTCTGGATGTATCAGGATGCGCGGATGGGCGTGGCCTGTGATCGGCCTCCCGTGGCTACAGGGGACGGGCAGGTGGACCGGGAGGCCTTCGGAGGCCTAGATGGCCAGCCAGGCTGCCCACAGGCCCGCCACAGTCCGTCTCTCACTCCTTGGACTGCCACACGGGTTAGCGGGCTCTGGGGTCAGCCCGAAGGGGTGCAAAGCCCATTTCAGTCACCTCACACACTGGCTGCTCAGCCCTGGGAGAGTCATTAACCGCTCCCTGCCCCAGTTTCCTCATCCGCAAAACGGGGATAATCATAGTACGCTTCCCAACCGCCTCATGGAGTTGTGAGGATTACACGAGCTGATGCTTACAAGCGGTGGTATGAGTTACTTGTTGCTGCTGTGACAAAATACCACACGCGCAACGGCTTAAAACAACACAAATTTATTCTCTTGACAGTTCTGGAGATCGGAAGCCTTAACCTCAAGGTATCGGCAGGACTGAGTTCCTTCCGGAAGCTCTAGGAGGAGAATCCGTTCCCTTGCTTCTTCCAGCCACAGCCTGCATCCCTCAGCTCACGGTCTCTTCCTCCACCTTCAAAGTCCGCAGCACAACAGCTACCAAACTCTCTAACTCTGACTCTTCTGCCCTCCTCTTATGAGGACCCTTGTAATGACCCTGAAGCCACCTAGACAATCCAGGGTAGTCTCTCCATTTCAATTCAGTCCTTAATCTAATCACATCTGCAAAGTCCCTTTTGCCGCTGTTATTGGCGGACTTGTGTTCCCCCCACCCCCCACCCCACCGCCCTCCCCTGACCCCGCCAATTCATCCGTTGAAGTCCTAACCTCCAGAACATGACTGTGTTTGGAGACAGGGTCTCTACAGAGATCAACATGAGGGCATTAGGATGGCCCCTAATCCAATAGGACTGCCGTCCTCGTAACAAGAGAAAGTTTGGGCACCAAGGGCGGGCAATTTGAAGATGCTGGAAGATAACAACATCGACAAAGCCAGGGAGAGAGGCCTCAGGTGAAACCCACCCTGTTTTCAGCTTCTTGCCTCCAGAACCATGAGAAAATAAATTTCTATTGTTTCTGCCAACGTGGTCTGTGGTGTTTCGTCACGGCAGGCTGAGCAGACCAATCCAGCCATGTAAGATGACGCAGTTCCGGGTTCCGGGAGTTAGGATGTCGACATCTGTGGATACCATTCTGCCCATCAGAGTGTTCGATAAATGTTAGCCTCCATTAGTAGCAGTGGTATTATATTATTTGTATTTTTATTCCTAGGGATTAAGCCTTGCCCTTGGGACTTTTTTTCCTTTCTCCCGTTGCTGTCACATACGTGCTTCTCACTTACTTATCACCTCTCGAACTCTTAATAACTAATCCTGTAAAGCCCTATTTTGCCGTGCGATTTCCTCGGGGAGGCGAGGAACATCCTCGGCGTATTCGTCTTGAAACTGCACCAAAGCACTCTCGCGTGTTATCTCGTGGGATCCCTGCAGCGATCTCTGGAGGCAGGCAGGGTGCCAGCAGCTTTGGGGAAACTGAGTCATGGCGCGTCTGAGGTCACATCAGGCTGGGTCTGGGTCTCCTGTCCCGTAGTTCCAGGACCTTGCAAGGGTTTGCTGCCTTCCGGGCACCTGTGTGAGCGCCCACCCCATCGGATCTCACGGCACCATGAGGAGGAGGTTGGGGCTTTGAGGTTCTGCTCGTCGTCCAAGCGGGGAATCTGAAGCTCAGGGACGACCAGTGATTTGCAGGGGGTGATGCAAGCCCAGGGCAAAGACGAGGTATAAGCCAGGGGCCTGGAGTCCATGACCAGGGTCCCTCCTCTCACCAAAGGGTGGCCTCACCTGAAGGCTGGGGACGGAGGGGCAGGAGAGGGAATCAGGCTGGGGTTGCAGAGGAAGAACGGGGCATCCGTCCCGGGCCAAGCCTGGTATATGTCTGGTGCCATGAGCAGCCCCTGTGTGAGTGGCCTCACCGCCTGCAAACTGCTAAAAATAAAACTCGCAGTGGAATTTTCTCTGAAGAGGAAACAGAAACAGAAAACAAAACCCCAGCCCTGAGGGAACACTTGTCCTTCTGTCTGTATCCGAGAAGTCTGGGGGCATGTGGTGTTCCCAGCCACCCTGCTTACCCAGGCCCTTTGTGATGGGGTCATCCAGAGGCCCCCCCGCTTGGGGGCCTGTGGGCTTCCGAGAATGTGAGAGCATTAAGAGAGTGCCAGAGCAGAAGAAGGGCCTCTGTGAAGCCTCTGCACAGAACTCAGGGCCTGCGGCGGGCCAGGCACTGACCACACTGTTGCAGCAGACCCAGAGGCTGGCTCAGGTCTTGCTCTGGCGTCAGCTGAGAGATAGGCACTTTATGGCGACAGGGCGGGCCAGGTCAGTGTTTGTCTACCTGCCAGTTCCTGCCCTCCTCTGTCCCCGAGCCAGTCTCCTCTTTGGGACCTTCTGCTCAGCTCACCACTTCCTCCAGGAAGCCCTCCCTGAGTCTCCTAGTAGAAAGCAGCCTTGCCTATTCCTGTTTTTCCACAGCACTTGGTGGATTCCAGTACTTAGGGCCGACTGTGTTATTCAAACCTGCATAAAACACTTGGGGTGATCCCCCAAGAGAAGACGCCATCGGCCTAGGTTTGCCTCCCCCCCCCCCCCTTGTCGTATGACTTTGGCTCAGGCACACCTTCTCACTGAGCCTCAATATATTACCTGAAATCTAGGTAAAATAGGAATATTACCATCACCCATGACACAGGATGTCATGGGGTCGACAAGGTTACAGATGTAACTATCAAGTTCAGAAGTGTAAGGGTGCAGGGGTTCATTTCCAGGCATCACACATCAAGGGACACCGAGAAATGGGAGAAAGAGTTCCCTCAAACGCATAGAGACTGGGGACAGACTCCAGAGGGACACGGTCAGTGTCTTCTCACAGATGCAGGCCTGCTTTGGGGGACAGAAGCCTATGACTGACTTGCCTCTCGTGGCCGTAAGGGAAACAGACTTCGGCTCAGTCCAAAGAGGAACCATGAGGTAGAAGTGATTATTTCAGGAGGTAACGAGCCCGTGGCTTACTGTAAGCCACCAGCATCAGATGCCAGCTTGCTTTTGGCCTTCCTGAGCCGACTCCAAGGGAAGAGAGTGAGAGACGCCATTGTATTCACAGTGTCGCAGGCAGGCAGAATTGAACGTGATTTTCCAGCCACTGCGTTGCCCCCTATTTCACGGTCACTTCTACAGGAACGTCATTCCAGGCAAGAATGCAGCCTCTAACTAGGCCAATGGTGATCCTTTAATATCTGCGTCTTACGTTAGCCGATCAGCCCGTGGCCGTGAGCATTTCTGGGACAGATGTTACTCTAATGAAGTCAGAAGACAAGGACACGCCGATAAGCAGATGGCATGGAAAGTGTTCACAAGGCCGGGCACCTCTGGGCTGGACCCTGCACCCCATCTCCCAGGTTTCCCCAGATGCACAAACTTCAGGATGACCACATATGCAAAGTGTTGACTCCTAATCAGCTGCTTTGGTCAAAAGTCCCCCAAAGTTCCCATCAGGGGCAGGAGGGGTCAGAGGAACCTCTGGTCTTTCCAGTCGTGGCTTTGTGCAGGTGTGAGACTTCTGGCTCGTGCTGGCCCCCAGCTTTCCACTGGGGGTGCAGTGCCGACCTCCTCAGGCGGGGAAGCGGGGGTGGGGATGGGGTCTGCTGTTGCCTGCGCCCAAGAGGCAAAGGCCTCCCACGCAGGCAGCACCCGCTCCCACCTGGAAGCCTGTCATGGTTCCTATCATTCCACCATTAGAGTCATTTCACTGGATTTAAGGCGGCAAGCTTCAAACTGTGCCCTGCAGGACGCCAGGAGCCCCTAAAGTTCCTCGGGAGCTGGGACAGAAGGAAAGGGCACAACTAAAGGTTATGGGGTGTCAGGCTCCCCCTCAGCCCGATTCACAAAGATGAGAAATTAAAGCCCCTGGAGAGATCTAAACTCTCTCTTACTTATATTATCCGAGATTTTACAAGGCGTGTGTATTAATTTTGTTAAGAGGCAAACATAAACCAAATTGGAAACGATCTTCCTGGAGCACTCAAGCAGGCAGGGGCCTCAGAAGGCATGTGGCATACGGCCTCCTCTTTGCGGGTGGAGTGGGGGGTCCCCTGCAGAGCCAGGGGTCTGCTGGGGGTCTCAGGGTTAGCTCACTAACAAGTCCCAACGGGGAGGCCTGCCTCAGTGTATCCAATTAGCTCTTATACCGTGTTGCAAGCTGCACAGTTCTAGAAAAATGCATCGGGTCCTCGCTCTTATTTCCTTGAGGGCCTGCAGGGGAGGGGCTGCTGAGGAAAGGATGGGGGGGGCCCTCAAAACCAGCTCTGGTCGGGGGCAGGAAATTCCTCCAACTCTCTGCAGGAAGGGGGCCAGGATGGAGAAGGGAGAGGAAGGTGTGGAGACTTGTCGGCCTCTGGCTTCCACAGGAGGGAAGGAGAGACGCCCACACAGGTACTCTGGACATCACAGGTCCTGGAAAGGCGTGGCAGAAGCCAAATTCACTTCTTCGTTTTACAGATGGAGAAGCAGGCACGGGCATTATCTTGGCCGTGCACTGAGTCTACAACATCCCTGGACACCAGGCTCCTGACCGCTGGGCTGTGGTTTCAGGACAAGGAGGGAACTTGGGCTGAAAGAAGCCAGGTATCTCGCAGACAGAGAGGGTGGCCGAACGGTGAGACCCTAGTCACTAGGGCGTTTCACGCCGAGACTCCCCAATGGGTGTTGGGGCCCTACGTGTAAGACCAGGGGTGTGGATTTAGAGCTATGGTTCTTACAGCTTGGGACCAATACAAGTTTTGTTTTGTTTTTTTTAAGCCAGAAGATTAACATAAACACTGCCACTTTTTTTTTTTTAATTTTACCAAGTAAACACTTTATCAAAAATCCCACCATCTATTATCACTCTCATTTCATTTGTACAAAGACACGTACAGGGAGGGCATAATCCCAGGGTAAAGGTTGATTCTATAAGTGGAAAAGATTCTAGTTTTATATATAAAAAAAAAAAACAGGGCGCCTGGGTGGCGCAGTCGGTTGAGCGTCCGACTTCGGCCAGGTCACGATCTCGCACTCCGTGAGTTCGAGCCCCGCGTCAGGCTCTGGGCTGATGGCTCAGAGCCTGGAGCCTGTTTCCGTATCTGTGTCTCCCTCTCTCTCTGCCCCTCCCCCGTTCATGCTCTGTCTCTCTCTGTCCCAAAAATAAATAAACGTTGAAAAAAAAAATTAAAAAAAAAAAAAAAAAACAAAACAACCCCACAAACTCACTACGATTTCCTTATTCTTATCACTTTGTCATATACCGGGGGGACTGGACCAGATCCGGCCGGCATGCGGGAATCTGCCCTGGAGACATGCCGGGTGAGGGTTCTTCCGGCTTGGTAGGGACAGAGTTCTAAACTGCGGTGCCTGAGAATGTGTCTTTGGCCCCTCACACGTCCAATGCTATTTCTTGTTCCTAGAAGCACAGCGGAACTTGAGACAGAAGCTGAGAATGCCTCTCCCTGTCCCTGGATACAGGGGCAGAAAGAAGTGTCTCGATCAAGAGGTGATGCACCTGTCCATAAAGGGCCAGATGGCAAATATTTAGCGCTTTGAAGCCTCCGTGGCAACTACTCACCTCTACTGTTGTAGGGCAAAAGCAGCCACGCACAATACGTAAATAAATGAGCAGGTAGTGGCTGCAAACCAATAAAACTTTATTTATGGACACAGAAATTTGAATTTCATAAAATTTTCACGTGTCCCAAGATGCCATTCCTTTGGCTTCTTAAAACCATTTGAAATATAAAAGCCATTCTTAGCTTGTGGGACACACAAAAAACAAACAAAGAAACAAAAACGGGTGGCAAGCTAGATGTGGCCCATGGGCCGTAGCTTGCAGACCTCTGGTCTAGACTGGTGTCCTCGCCCTGAATCTGTCACAGATCGGCGAGGTATCTTTGGGTAAGTCCCTTTGCCACTGTGAATGTCAGTCCGCCCACTGCTTACAAACTGATGCAGTCCAGACTCCAGACAAGGGGGCAGGTATCTTCCAGAGACTTTGTGGGCCGCTGCCCAATGGCTTCAACCTCGACAAAAGGGAAAAAAAAGGACAAACACTCTTTCCAGGCCGTGCCACGTACCTTCTCCTGAGACAGAAGGCTTCCTGGGCTTACAGACTGGGGGTCGTCCCCTCTGCATTTTGGACACATCCGGTCCTCGCCATTCCTGGGGACACATGAACAAAGCCTGCTGAGTGAAGTATTCGTGGCTTCCCGGCACCAACCTCCATCCTTGTCGCTGCAAACGCCCAGGCCGTGCCCGGTTCCGCAGCTGATTTCAGTAAGCGTGCAGGCAGGTCCACAGCCCCAGACCCACCATTCCCAAACTTCAAAAGTACTGGGCACCCGGTACCTTCCCATAGTTCGCAGTGAGCTCAGTTAGCTGCTGCGCCTGCCCTGGGGCGACTGGAGGCTATCATCACCCTTACCTACCCCACGTAGTGGGAGCCCTTCTGTTTCATGGCAGAAATATTAACATGCCCCCGTCCCCGCTGGAAGAATTACGTAGTAATGCACTGACTGCCTTTCCTAAAATCTGAAAAAGTCCCGAATTCCAAAATATACCTGAGCCCAGGGGTTCCGGTAGGGATTTGTGGATGCGTGGTTATATTTGCTCTTCCCGGCTTCCTCTATTAGGCTTTGGGTCTCTTACTTTCAGTAATTCTGGATGAGCACAGTCAGAATAAGAAGGGGCCTCAGAGAACAACCAGCCTGGGTTTCCTAACCAGGAGTGGGTATCAGACTCTGAGAGCAATGACACACGGATCTATGTGCTTTGAGAAAGCTCCCGAGGGGTTCTGAGCCACAATGAGAGCCACCGGTCAGGCCCAGCTTACACGGGAGGAAACCGAGGCCTCGGTGACGTATGAGTTGGCCAAGTGCAGACCGATTCAGGAGCTGGGCAGAACAGACCCGTTGCAAAAAGCCTGAGATGAACCCCCCCCAAAATCAGCTTGATGGT